TTACCACAAAATATTACAGTTTAACCCCTGTACCTCTCTTAAACCTAAAGTTAGAAATTACTTTATGAATAAGATTCTAGATTTTAAAAATCTACAGGAGGCTACAAAACCCAGTGTGAAGATTACACCAATATGTCCGATACCCTTTAAAAAAAGAGGCTCCTTTTTAAAAGAAAAGTAGTGCCTGTCTGGTTTCTGCTCACATTACAGATGCCTGTGGGCTGTTCATGGTCTGAAGAAAGAGAAGAAAAAATACAGCGTGACCCTTGAAATGCATCTTTGTGACCCAGCAGAGGGGTCAGACCCATAGGTTTGCAACCACTGAACTACAGCTTGTTAACTCATTTACACATCAGTTCCTACAATCCATTGATGTGAGAATGCATATTGGCACAGGGAGTACTTTTCTTCAGAGAGATTACTTCTACCTCTGGTGTTAAAAGTGAATTGTGTTGATAAAGATTTAAGTTTATTTAACAGTATTTTAACAGCCCTGAGAGGGTAGAAATCCCCTCTTGTCAGACCCTGCGGTTTAGTTTTACAGGTTGGATGTCATAGGGTTAAAGAAACAGGTATTCAGTGCTTTTGTCACATGAGAACCAGATGACTGACAATTCTCCCCCATTATCACAGAACAAGAGAACGGATGATTTGACCGGTATTAAGAAGGAACAAAACGAGATTTCAGGTAAACTTGAACACATAAGTCATACATGTCTGCTGCTGCCATCATGTGGTGTAAAACAAGAATGAATGTTTAGGTCTGAGTCCTTTCTCCTTTTTTTTCTAAGCTTCCTTAAATGCAGCGTCTAATGCCTGGAATCAGGAGATAAATATGTTGAAAGAACAGCTGACGGGATACAGATCGATATGTGATCATGTGAAGAACCGCCCATTGGCTTTGTAAGTCAAACAGACACTTTTAATCACAAACAAAAAATCAAATTATAAAGTACAAAGTGGAATAATAATTGCACAATTGTGTTTTCTAGGAAGCTGTGCGGCCCTAAACCCAGCGGAAAAACAACCTCCATGATCCAAAACAAAACTCCCTGAAGTTAATATTTATTCTAAGAGCCGGATTGATTTTTTATGTTTGTGTCATTTTTCAGGACTGAGTGGTGTTTGAATTGTTATCGCTTTGTTTCTGAGCTACAATAAAAGTAAGAATGAATTTGTACCCAAAATAATTTCCAGTTGGTGGTGATGTGTTCATGGGCTGTTTTTTTTTACTGCAGATCATTTATCATTTCAGGCAAGTGGGCACCGTCGCTCTATACTTTTTTTTCCTGCTTTTGTAAGACAGAGAAAAGACACAAATGGAAGGAAAAGAAAGCACAGAAAAGCACCTTGTCAAACTTGAAACACTACATACTTGGATCCCTTTCAGCTAATAAGTCCCCTTGCCTTATCTGGTTTCTTGTCGTAAAAAATGCAAATGCTGTCATGTCATAACCCTTGCAATGCAAAAAATGTCAACACACTCGAATGTGTACTGGAAAGTCTCCTTTAAAAGAAAAGAACTCAAGGCACACTGTAGGATTTGTGTCAAATCAGAATACCTTAATTTCACATTCTGTGTTATCTACGGCTGACATGTTTGTTCTACATCAGGCGGATAGTTTGCACATAGTTTGTTGTGTTACACTAGTCAGTTCAGTATGAGCATGTCTCTGCTTGATTGTAAAGTCTATTGGTTTAAAATAAGGAAGTGATACCTCATACATTAGTTAGTCAACGTAATGTAAGTAAGTTTAATAGGAACGTACAACATTTGCTAATAAAACTTATTAATACTTATTGAATGATGATTTCACTCATTCTTAATGTCGTTTCTCCTTGTTTGCTCCACATGCCAGGGGATAAAACTTCATGAAGTTCTTAAGAGCTCCTACCTTAGTTTAGTTTTCTGATAAACTTGATATGTGAAACTCTAAACCTAATTGCACACTTAAAGAGTGACCCCGATGACTGTGACTGTGTCTTCTCAAATGTGCCTGTTCAGATTGCCCTGAGGCACTGGTGTGAATGCGAACATGACTCCTGCCACTTCTAAGTACGTGGCGGACAAGGGGAAATGTGATCCACTTCAGGGGTCTATATCATGAAGACTGACCTGCTCGCTGACAGGAAGGTATCAGGAGAGAACACATGTTGTGGGCAGCACGGAACAGGATTATAAACTGTATGAAGGATTGAATATCTACAACTCCAGATGTAAAGGGATAAACAGCACACGGCATACGTTAGGTGTTAAAAAAAAAACAGCGTTAGTTGTATCCATCTCTCCACAGAGACATTTTCTTCATAGTGTTCATTAAACTTCAGAAGGTTATCCATCTGTTTAACATGCAACACAAACTTAATAAAATGGATTACAATATTAACTAACAAACAATGTGATGTGCCAGAGGGGAGCATCCTCTGACTGTTATCTTTCATTTGAATACAGTTCAACACAGCTCACCATGGCTCACAATATACAACATCATCCTTTGTAAAAAATTAAATATGAAATAGATTCTTTCTGGGGCGGGAAATAGAATGAAAAATAAGGTCTTAATACTGGATTAATCCATTACTGTCGATATTAAGTATTACAAACAAGGGGTAGAAAATAACATGAATCGATAATTAAAATAATTGTCGGGTAAGATCTGAAGTCCTTATAAAGGTCCAAACCCTCTGGATAAGCTGATTTTTTGAAGCACTGTTTTTGTGTGCAAATTGAATAACAGATAATGCAAAGACAATGCGGGCTAACAAGTTTGAATCTTTGTGCTGCTGATTGGCAAATAGATAGATAGAATCTTTATTATCATTGTATACAAGGACACAACGAAACTTTGTTAGCAGCAATCCTAAACAGCAGCTTTTACAAAAACAAAAATATATTTGTGGTTATATGAGAGAGAAGTATGTAAAAAGTGGCCAGAGCAATTGCTGTTCAGTGAATGACTGATAATAATAATAAATAAATAGACAGTTGTGGTGACTGAAAGAACATATACAGTTATTATTGTGCAGTGACAAATGTTCTATGTTTGAACTAAGTCATTTCTAAACTATAACTTTAGCTATATCTCCCATATGCCTATTTATGCAAAACTATTTCCTAAGACTATAACCTAAATGCAAGATATCTAACTTTAGCTTTACTATTCAAAAGACAATGAATAAATACGCACAAGTGTAGGCCTTTACCTTTACAGAAATAAATAATAGTTTAGCTTCAATTGGTTAAAACAAAGCTTGTAGGCCTACAAAAGTACTACATATTTTTGCATTTCCTTAACTAAAATGAAAACTAATACAAAAAAATATGACAACAGTAAATATGCCTATTTTATTGGAGCTACATCATTTGTCAATATGTTAACCACACAAGAATAAGCCTGTATTAATAATAAATAATAATGATACATTTATTTATAAAGCGCTTTAAATCAAAGTGCTGTACAAAGCAATACAGTTAAATACAGGGAAAACATACAGAGAAAAACAACAACAACCATGACTTTATATTTATTAATTAAATAGCATCAGTGGCCATTTACAAACTTAAAAGACGTCTGGGGTCTTGAAAAACACTGAAAGTAGCGAACAGGTAGACCCACTAGTCTTTTTTTTTATTAATGCAGGGGTAGGCTGTTAAATTGTAGCTTATGAGGGACAAACACTATTTATGTTATCCCCTCTTTTATTGACTGGTTTTACAGCCTGTTACTGTGAATGAAATATTGAGTGTGATAACCAGCTGCTGTAGTTCCCGCTCAAAGACGACAGCAGTAGGCTAATGTGTGGATGTGAAATGTGACGTCGCCTACGTAATGCAGTTTGGTTGCTACCGACCTGTAGGGTTCACACCTCGTCTCCGAAATCCGACCTGACCTTGACACAAACCCTGGGAGTTTTTCGAGCGGAGGGAGGGCGATATGGCCACAGGGGGGAGGTGGGAGAGGACCGAGGAGAAGAGGAGGAGGAGGAGGAGGAGGAGGAGAGAGGTGAGTGGACGCAGTTATGCCAACAAGCCGATTATTGAAGGCTACTGAGCCCTGGCTGTCAATGTCCGTCCGTCCTGCATGGTCAACCAGACACGGAGAGCAGAGGAACACTGAACCTGAAGTTTTTATTTCTGCATCAAGTAGACTTCGTTCATCACAGGACAGACAGGAAAGTACTTTTTTTTAAGAGTCTTCAACCTTTTGGGGTTTACATTGAGGATACTCGTGCGTTGAGAAAACATTGTTTTCAGAAGATTTTGAGACTTGCAATGATACCAAAGAGGGCAAAAGGTACTTTTTTCATTGCAGTGGTGTCACATTTAGTTTATAGACTGTCTGGAGACACACAGTGTTATCAACATGCCTAACAGTGTGTCAGGATAGCAAAAAGTATAGGCTACTTCTGTCATTGGTAGCCCACATGTTATTGCTGCTACACAGCATTTCATTTAGTATCATGCCTACAGGCTTATCAGTATAGATGTATTTCTTTTTAAATAGAAGTCAACATCAGCAATGCATTAAATGGCAATGGTAGCTACTGGAAACGGTGTCTGCCAGTGAATTTTAGGATCAGGACCCTAACAGCCAAGAAACAAGGGACAGTAAATCCTTCATTCTGAAGTGCAAGGTGTAAAAATGACAAGTCCCACCAGGAGTGTTAAAGACCAGAAACGCTGCAGCGACAGCCCGACCCACAAGTCGGAGACCTCCAGGTACCGCAGTTGGAGCAACTGGAGCTTCTCAAGATGGAGAAGCGGCTCCCAGAGGACGAGCCCCCCTGGTACCCCCTCCCCAAAAGCAGACAAGAAAAGCGATGTGACCAAAACGCTCTTCTCCTTGGTTAAGACTCACAATGACGACTACACGGCCGATCCTGATGGCCTGCTGAACACCAACGATGAGCCTGATGGAGGCGGCGATGATGACATGGTGGAGGACCAGTCCACCTACTTCCAGAGGCAGTTTGGATCATTGCTGCAACCCGGGGTCAACAAGTTCTCCTTGCGCATGTTTGGCAGTCATAAGGGTGTTGCTGCTGAGCAGGCCAGGGTCAAGAGCTTTGGAGTGTGGATCATCCACCCTTACAGTGACTTCAGGTAATTATGAGGGTGTGTCGTCAGGGCTATGTATAGGAACATTATTCCTGCAGAAAACCGTCAAAATGTGAATATAAAAGTCTGTAATCTTTTGCCTGATTCATCATTCGTCTTCCATGAATTTCCTTCAGAAGCATTTGATTTTCTTCCAACAAAACTGCCTGCGACTGTGCTCAGATCTAATATTTCCAAGGACAGACTCCAGCACAGCAGCTGATGTCATGGTTCCTAGCACATGATAAGGAGATGAAGGGATTTGATTAGTGATACAGTATATAGGACAAGATCATCTGGATTAATGATAACTCCCAGCAACTTCCTTTCTCTGTCTTTATGAAGAGGCAGGAATACATCTATTGATTCTCATGATTAAAGTGACCCAAGGTGCTCTATTTAACATCCAATAATTTCTCACTCTTGGTTGGGCTCACTTTTGGAGGATTGGGCATATAATACAGCTTTGGGTCTGATCATCTTAGACCACCAAACACTCCGTCTGTGCGGTCACTAATAATAGCTGCCATCAATTTAAACAATTTTAAACATCAGGGCTATGCCAGACAGAGAGGATCAACCCGTGAACAGGGATTATTGCCCATAAGAATCCCTATAATTCCAATCTTGCTCTATTATGTAATAATACACAGACAGCTGAGGGGGGGATTATCAACGGCCTACTCTCCTTAAACCTTATGCTCCAGCTTCCCCTGTAAAATGAATGAATTGAAATGGCACGTTTTTGGTGCAGAGCTCTGAAGGTCAAATAGCTGTTTGGATTTTGGCTTTTGAGTCGGATTTAAAGTGAGAAAATAAGCAAATGTATAAATCTCAGTAGCCTATAGTGAACATCCTATACATGTACATGTTGTAATCAAATTGGCAGGGTCTAATCACATTATATGGCATTTTGACCACCAGAGAACCTTTCTTGTTAAATATTCTTCAATCTTCTTTTTATTTACAAAACTTTACATTACATCGATGGACTTTATGCAGCTTGCCTGTGGCTAAAATGTTTAAAAATTAAATCTATATATGAGGATAAAATGCTAGTAACATTGTAATTTTGTACTAGGCAAAGTAAAGAAGTGATGAAATAACACCAATGACACTAACAACCTCACAATCATATTGGTGAGGATGTTTAGCAGGTATGAGGTTTCTATTTCTCTTACTATAGCATTTTATTATTCCTAACATTAACATCCTGTGGAAAACTTAAATGCCCGTACAAGTTAAAGGCACTCCATACAAAAGTCGTCAAGTTGATTTAAAGCAATATACCAAATGTTCAGCTCAAGTTGGCGCTTGTGAAAAAGCTGTTAGGATTGTCCTCTGAGAATCAGAATGACTTTTTTGTTATACCTATATTTGTATTTGCATTTTCATTTAGTAACACACACACAAAAAAAGACAAACATATAGACATAACATTGACAGTATAAAAACAAAATAAAACAAAAAACAACAACAACAAAGGAGACAAGACAGCATGACAAAACATAGACTGAAAAAAAAAATAGACAATAGTAATAATAATTCAGAATCACTTTGATTGGCCAGGTATGCTCACACACACACGCACGCGAGGAGTTTGACTTCGGTGAACTGAGGAGTATAAACATCGTTTTTACTCCCAATATTAAAGATATTTCAGTCTGGACCAGTTGTTGAACAAAAGACTGCCCAATGTTGCCATGCCTACTATAAAGCCACAACAAGAATGTACACAACATGGCAGATTGCCGGCTAGTGTGACATCAATCACATTACTCTTTCTGACTGTGCTCGCTCTTAAAAGGCACAAACTAAACTTAGACGATAAGCTGATTGAACCTTGCTTTTAGGACCAACATGGAACACTATGAATCCACAGTCCTACTCATTTTTTACTCTTAACTGTTAATAATAGCTCATCTAAAAGGTTTTGACTGGAGACTGAATACACTCATGCTTTAGCACACACACACACACACACACACACACACACACACACACACACACATGCACATGCCCCATGTTAACAGCTATAATGCAGTCCAGAGTCTTTGGTGGAGTTATAAGCAGCAAGTGTCCACTAATCTGCTGCAACATGAGTGGATGTGATAAGTAGTGATGTAAATCAGCTGGTAGACAGAAGAGGACACGTGTCAAAGTGATAGACAAAGGGATACATGTGAGTGAGGAACGAGGAACTAATCTATCAGTTCTGTGCTCTGATTGGCTAGAGAATTAAATGTTTTTATGGTTGTGAAGGGTGACAGTGATTGAAAATAGTCTGGTTTATGTTCTGGTTCTGAACATAAACCAGACTATGTTTATGTTCAGAGAGTCCCTCTGCACCTTTAAGAAAAAGCTAAAGACCCAGCTCTTTCATGAATACCTACTAACTTAATGATGATGGTCTCCATATTATTGATGATGATGATGATAATGTGGTTGGTTTTTGTTTGATAACAATGACTTATAAGATGGTTTCTATACTGATTAGAGCTCTCAAGAACTGCCCTCAATGTTGTGCTTTGCCTCTGGTCACTTCCTGTCAGCACCTGTGTGTCCAATCAGACTCAAAGCTGATCGTTTGCTCTTACTGACATTGTTCCCTTTTTTCTAGATCCTTGCTTGTGTTGTACTTACTCTCTGATGTACGTCGCTTTGGAGAAAAGCGTCTGCTAAGTGAATTGTAGAATTGTAGAATTGGTTCTGCTGCCTCTGTAATGAAAGAGAGACTAAGAGCCAGAGAGAGAGAGAGCTGAGGTGATTGTCAATTGATGGAAACAGTCTGTAAGGAAACCCAAACCGCTAAGCCACGTCTTATAATGAGCCACTGGAGACCTGAAAGGGATAAAGACTTGTATGACATGAAGCAGACAGCAAAGACGTCTAAGAGCAGCTCACTGTGTATCAGACATGTCCAGAAGTAGTGACGTTTTCCTTTCCTTCATTGTATTTGCTATATTGAACCCGATGGGGTAAGCAGCATACATTTTTGATGAGAGGGGTTCCTCCTGTGACAGGAGCTGTTGCAAGAGTAAGGGTCACGAAGAAATGGGTCATTCCCCAAACGACACACTGCTCTTCTGTTTGGATGACTTCCCAAACTTAAAGCCTTTAAGTTAAACGTAAAGTCCAAGATTAAATATTCACTAGATCAAATGTAAAAGATGATCACCAGTTTCACATCTGTTCAATGAAGTATGGAGCTAGTAATAGAAGGAGAATAGCTTTACTCATCTTAAGGATTGGAAAAGAGACGGAAACAACGTATCTGGCTGTGTCTGAAGGCAAATTAATTGTTTACCAGTGCCCCTTAAGTCCACTAATTAATGTGTTATATCTTATTTTTGATTTAGAGGTTGTGATGAATGAAACGTTAAATACAAAATATGTGAACTAGCACTGAGATTTGTAAGGGCATTTTTTTTTGCAGTTGAATTGCTTAAGAACAAAAGTACATTCCAAATGCAGTTTTGAACGTAATGCTCTGTTCATCTTCGCTTCAGATATCAAAGCCAGAATTAAAGGTCACATATTACACTCCTTTTCAACTAGTTAAGTCTCAGAGCTCCCCAAAAACATGTCTGTTATGTTTCTTGTTAAAAATCATTGTCCTGTATTTTAACATGCCTATAAACCCCTCTACTTCAGCCCTGCTCAGAACAGGCCATTTTCTGTGTCTGTACCTTTAAATATGTAAGTGAGCTGTGTCTGACCACGCCCCCTCTATGGTTTGGATGACTCAGGCTTTCTTGCACTCTGCTCTATTTTCTACGGTGAGAAGGCAGACTCAGAGGGTATCAAACACCTAGTTGTGGGAGTGTCACCCACCTGGGGGGAGGGGCTACTTCCCTTTGTGATGTCACAAAGGGAAAATCTCCAAACAGCAAGTTTGAGCACACATTTTTCTGAAAAGTGGAGCAGGCAAAAGACGGAGAGGATGGAGGTCTCTCATAATTGGGGGGGGGGTTGTCAACAGCCTGGGGACACAGAGTAGTGTTAGAAAAACATGGTAAAGTGTATTTTGCATAATGTGTGACCTTTAAGAGAACTATCTTGCATATCAGTTTGAGGTTGTAGGTTTCTAGTAGTGTAGCAATAGTAGGCTGTAAGCTGTAGGAGGATGACGTCATCACGTTGACTAGGTGGCCAAAGATAAAACGTTTGACGTTTGACGCCAAGAACTTGAATTGAGGATTAAAACCCGAGTGGTCTTCTTAACATGTAGTAATAGCAATTATTTAACAAGGGAGCATAGAACCACTCTGAACTTAAAACACAGACATGTGAGTAACTGTCGGTCTAACACTATCACACATGGAAGTTGTCTGGTACTTCAACTATCTGAAAGACCTGAACCAGCCGCTGTACTAAGTGATATACAGATACACTGAAGCTGTATGAGTGACTTCCAGAGACCCTTACAGTTGATTCATTCATAATATGAACATATTTGATCTTTAAGCCTTGTGCTACCTGCAGTAATACGAGGGCATTTAACCTCGGCAAAGCTCTCTTGGCCTCCCTGTAAACACTTCACCCAAAGAGTTTTGATGCACAAGCTGACTTTAACAGAGAAGCATCATAACTAGTAATCTTTCCTATCCATACACAAATTGTAAAACCAGAAACACTCCCAATTTTTGAGCCACTAAAACGGTTTGTTTTTGTGTGTACTTTGTTTTAAGTACTGATGTCGAGGTGGGAGAGAGTTAATACATCTTTACATTTGCACAACATGAATCTTCAAAAATATTTTTTTCTGAACAGGTTTTACTGGGACATTGTGATGCTCCTGCTAATGATGAGTAATCTGGTCATCTTGCCATGGGGGATCACTTTCTTTGAGGACCAGAACACCTGGCCTTGGATTACCTTTAACGTCCTGTCTGACACTCTATTTCTCATGGATCTGGTTCTCAATTTCCGCACGGGAATCCCGGGAGAGGACAGCCACATCATCCTGGACCCAAACGAGATCCGCAAGCATTACCTCCGCACCTGGTTCCTGGTGGACTTTATCTCCTCCATCCCCGTTGACTACATCTTCCTCATCGTTGACCTGGAAGCCCGGCAGGAGTCGTCTGACGTGTACCGCACTGCCCGCGCCCTCCGCATTGTGCGCTTCACCAAAATCCTCAGTTTGCTGCGCCTTTTGCGACTGTCCCGCCTCATCCGCTACATCCACCAGTGGGAAGAGGTAAAGTAGGGAAGACAAGCAGAGAGACAATGCTCATAACAGTACACTTTTCTTTTTTTTTAAGTTTCATGTCCTTTTCTTTCTCCATACAACTTCCATCAGATTTTTCACATGACCTACGATCTGGCCAGTGCTGTCGTGCGTATAGTGAACTTGATCGGCATGATGCTGCTGTTGTGTCACTGGGACGGCTGTCTGACCTTCATGGTGCCTATGCTGCAAGACTTCCCCCCAGACTGCTGGGTATCCAAAAACAATATGGTGGTTAGTACACGTCCATTAATACATCAATCCATAACACACAAGCTTTGTATATGGGGTTAAAATTCCCCCAAAACAAATCAAATGAAACTTCCTGAAGAATCTGTGCATTCATTTGTACTTTTATGTTAACCTTACTTAATAATTTCATCATATTTCAAATTTCTTAATTAGCTGAATTGTACCCTTCCTAAAAAGCTCAATTCTAAACTTTCAAAGTAATTCAAGAAAAAGCTTGACAACAAGGCAAATGTGCTTCTTAGCTTTCATGCTGAGAGTTAAATGGGAAGACTGATTGCACTGTCACATCTGCACAGTAATTATGCAGCTAAAATCAGCAGCCCATTAGCTTAGGTTAGCAGAAAAACTGTAAACATGAGGTTAAAGCTAATCTAGCTGCACTAAAACAGGAGAGTAAAAATAATATTTTATTACAAAGTGGTACCATGCCTAACTATTTATTCTAACTTTTTTTCTTCAACATAGCTGTTTCCTTTTTTTCATTTGTGTAACTGACCACTGGTTGTACCTTCTTACAAAACATACGCACAATAATGGTATCAATCATCTCACATAACTTTGAACAACAAAGTTAGTTTGTGTAGTTCTTAAATTACAATTGTAGCAAATGCAAACTGTTTTCTGATTTCTCTAATTACAAGAAACTCTGTTCTCCTCAGAACGATACATGGCACATCCAGTACTCCTATGCCCTCTTTATGGCTATGAGTCACATGCTGTGTATAGGGTACGGAGCCCACCCTCCCGAGGGCATGACAGATGTTTGGCTCACCATGATCAGCATGGTGGTGGGGGCCACCTGCTACGCCATGTTCCTTGGTCATGCCACTACCCTGGTGCAGTCTTTAGACGCATCACACCGGCAGTATCAAGAGAAGGTAATGATCTCTGCACGGATTGGAAAAGATTAACAAACTGAACATTTTGACCCACAGCTTCTCTTGTTTGATGTCCTGGGAGCTTCACGTGGATGCTAATGTGATTCTGGCTGTGAGGTTTAATATCACAGCCATGTTGTATTTCATAAGCTTGCTTACTTTCCAGTTCTTTTTCATGGAAGCTAAGCCAAAGGCCTGGAAAATGTGTTTATTATCTAATAGCTTTTGTGGCCTTAACGTGATCTTGTCCAGGGAATTTTCAAATGATAGAACTGAGGGATGATAAACAAATGGCAGCACCTTTGTTTGGGATCACTGTTAGCTAATGCCCATTACAAATGAGATTGTAATCCACTTAGGGCTGAAAAAAAAAACAGCTCTGTAATTATTGTGCAATAATTAAGCTAACAAATGGAGAAAAAAAAATGTGACTTCATGTGACATCTGACCTGTGGAATTTCTATTGTTCACTCATGACGGTCAAATCAGCTTGTGTTTTGTACAAATGTTTCAGTATAAGCAAGTGGAGCAGTACATGTCGTTCCATAAACTGCCAGCGGACGTGAGGCAGAGGATCCACGATTATTACGAGCAGCGGTTCCAGGGGAAGATGTTCGACGAGGACAGCATCCTCGGAGAGCTCAGTGATCCTCTCAAGGAGGTGCGACGTAAATCAAAACCTTGATTTGACATCTCTGCTTTGCTGTTTAATTAACACATGCTCACATGGATACAAATGAAGCCTGAAACATGATGTTGCAAAACATTTATATAAAGCAATGTCCACATTAATATTGTTCTCAATCAATTTTGTAGCATGGGAAAATATGTCCCACAAAGTATTGTACAAGCTAATAAGCTAATATGCTAAAAAGTCAGATCACATTTTTGCCTTATATCTTGATTTTTATATGCAAAATTATTATTCAAAGAAAGAATAAGCTCCAGAGTCAATCATTCAAATAATCATTCCATGCATCCATATTCAAACTATTTTTTTCCCCAAACAAACAACCTAAACCTAAATATACAGTATAACAGAACAATAACAATAGGTTGGTACAACGTTGGTTTTGTAAAAGAATTTAGTTTGAAATATAATAATCAATCAGTTGTGAAAACAGGAGCCCATTTTTTTTTTAAATCAGCTATTTTACAAAACATTTCAGAATAAAAGTAAAAATTTGAAGGAAAAAAAAGGTTCATAACGCATCCCGTCTTCTCTTTGTCTTCCATGCAGGAGATCGTCAGCTTTAACTGCCGTGGTCTGGTAGCCAACATGCCGCTGTTCGCCAACACCGATCCTCATTTTGTAACAGTGATCCTGACCAAGCTGCGTTTCGAGGTTTTTCAACCTGGGGACTTGATAATACGAGAAGGCACGCTCGGTCGGAAAATGTATTTCATCCAGCATGGCGCCGTTACCGTCATCCCTCGTGGCAACAGGGAGATAACACTCAACGATGGAGCATATTTTGGGGGTGAATCATCTTTGATTAAACCCCTCAAAAGTTACTCATTAGAACTTTCAGAGGCTCTGAGGATTCTATTTGCTCTGCTCTTTTAAAAAGCTGATAATGTTGTTAATTTTCACTTTGTCATTGTCCCAAAATGAATGCTAGTCTTAATAATTTTGTCATCCCAGCCTATGATTATTTTATCACCTTACTTTAATTTAATCAGCCTTTACATAAATGGTTTACCTAGAAATGATTTAAATGTGTTAAGAATCATTTCCAAAAACCTGAGGGACGTCTTCAGATTGCTGATTTATTAAACTTGCAGTCTTTGAGCCAAAGATTTTAGCTGATAGAAAAACCGCACACTATTCCTCAAACTATTGTTTTAAAGCTTAAAACTAACATTCTCTTCTTTGATTCAGAGATCTGCTTGCTGACCCAAGGACGGCGCACAGCCACTGTGAAGGCTGACACCTACTGCCGCCTTTACTCCCTGAGCGTGGACAGTTTCAACGAGGTCCTGGAGGAGCATCCTCTCATGAGGCAAGCCTTTGAGAGTGTGGCTGTGGACCGACTGGGCCGAGGCGCTCGCAAATCCAGTCATCAGTCTCAAGCCGATGAGTGACCTCATCAGAACCCACAGAGACAAACTCCAGACAGATATATGGAGACTATTTTCTACAATTTGACTAAATGTGACCAATTGAAGAAACCTTGAATGTGAATGTCACGTATTGCTGGACAACCTGATAGCACATTATGAGCACATTATTGCTGCACCTTGCTAGAAATAGTGTTCCCTCAGTTCTCTAATTCTTCTATTTTAAACTCAATAAGCAATCTGATCTTCGTACGCTGTAAATACAAGTTCTGTTTTCTAATGAACAAATGGTTACCCCCCCACAACACACACATACACACCACACAAAGTTTTCTGGTTTCCTGTAAATGTAAGCATCTTAAATTGTTGGCTATTCATTTGCTTTTCATCGATGGCAGCTCAAGCTTATTTGTAACTGCCTCTAAGCTTTCTGATGCTACAGTTTTACCATCCATCACATCATCCATAAGAGATATTAGAAGCCCAAAGTAGCCCCAGCTGGTCAATTTATCACACAGCTGCGTGTATGTAACTCTGCTTTAAAGGATCCCTCAGGTCTATAGGTCGAATCAAACAAGGCTTTAACTCCAATTTTCCCTGAGGATAAGCTGCTGTGATGTATTAACTCACAGTGACAGATTGTCAACAGTTATTCATGATTTGAATTGAGAAATGTAACTATACTCCCACGTGGAGGTCTTTACAATTAAGGATACAATATTACAAGGTGTGATTCTTTCCCTACACATCTTTATTTTTTAATTGCACATCAACCTATTTTAACTTCTTTGTTTATTTACATTTATTTTGCTTTTTAAAATTTTAATGATAGTAAACCTTCAGTACGTTAATAAACAGATATAAAAGAATTATTTACTGTATTAAAATCAATCCCCTATGGTTCACTTGATTTGATGTGATTTTCCTGCTATAATGTCATCTTTTTGGCATTGATACGTCCAATAATTAGAGTCACTGCTTATTTTCTGCTTCAAAACAGGATCTGAAAGGAGATAACACTAATAAGCTGAATACCTGATTGTTTGGTAATAAATAGAGATACTGACTTTTATAAAATTATGTTTAATCTTTAAGTTACCTACTCTTATACATTGATTCCTTTGGTCAAAATATCGATATATACCATGTTTGTTTTTTATTTTTGTAAACTTAAGAGTAGAAAAAAGCCTGGTCTTACAACACCTAATTTTACAGCAATATTTCTCCTTTAACAGATGTTTGTTTTATTTTAAACAGTGCTTACCCTATCCTTTTCATTATTTCATTATTTGAATATTCTGCTGAAGAATCGTCCTACTGATAATGCCATATAAACATAGATAATTCTGCCCTTTAAATATAAATATGAAAAGATAATTTTTGCCTATGTGTATTTTTGTGTTTTATAAGGTCCTTGTTTTATATGTGTTTGATAAGAGACCTACGCTGATGATTTTGTCTTCTATCAATCTCTTTATTTACATAAGGGGAGCAATGTTGTAATGGACACTTTTTCTCCCTAAATAAAAAGAAGGAGGTTCCATTGTCAGCTTGTTGTGCAACCACAACCTTTTAAATAAACCTCCGTACCTCTGCAGCACAGCAGAGGAGCACAGCAGAGGAGGACAGCTGAGTGTCACAGTGAAAGATTCCGGAGGAGTCCTCATCAACTTCCGGTCTTGGTTTCATCAAGCTCGGGACGTAGAGAAGGTAAGAAGGATTATTATGCAAACTTAACTTGAATCAGTCATAGTTTGATGGATTTGTGTTCGTGTGGCTGTTGTTAATAACGGTAATAATTCATTTATGAGCTGTCCGTTTGAGGTATGTTGTTAATCAGCTGCAATTATTCTGACATTACAAGGTTAACCGCTAGCTAAGTTAGCATAGCAATAGGCTAGCAGTGAGCATGGAGGTCAGTATGTACCCTAAAAACAGAATACTAAAGCGAGGAAGAGGAGTTTGAATTAACCTCTTACTATTAAGTGCTACAATATGTGTTTATCCACTGACTGTTTCGTTTGATAACCTTACGCCGTTAGCTTCGTTAGCTAACTCAGCATATGTGACATAACAACAACACATCTGGAGTTACACAAGGTGATGTACAGCAAAACCTTTCATTATAAAACTAAACCAAGGGTGATTCATTGTTGATGATTGTTTTTAAAATAAAATTACATTGCAATAGATCAAATGTTCGCTTTTGGCCCTGGTTTGAGGAATTAAGCAAATGTGGTGCGTAATGTGTTGTTGGTAGTTTTTGTCAAGAGGCTGTTATTACAGCAAATTACCAACAAGACATTTTAGAATGTATATTATTTATTGCTTTAAAACTAAAGAAAATCACAATTATACCTATTTTAAAATAGACTATTGAAAAATATCTATTTGTTTTCGGTCTAGACAAAATATAGACGAGATGTAGAATTAAAAATATGCCAACAATGTGGTCCACTTTTGCTTTCCAGAATACAAGTAAATTATATTTAACTCCACTGTTTGAAGACGTTACTATATACAACATCTGCAATCAATGTTGTATTTTTTTCTATTGTTGTATTTTTTATTTTTATTTAACTGATATGTTTGATTTTTAACTTCTATTTTTTATTTTTAATAATTATATTCCTGTTTCCTGTTTTCTTGAGCTGCTGTAATGCAAAACTTTCCCCCATGGGGATCAATAAAGTTTATCTTTATCTTTAATCAAAGATTCAATAAAAGTAAATTAAAAAGATTTAAAGTTAAAGACTGATGTTATCTCTTTTTGTGATTCATACAGTAGTAAACTATACATCTTTCATATAAGGGCTATAGATTGGAAAAAAGGAGGTCTTTGAAGTTTTCCCCTTTTGCTCTCCTTCACTCTGAACTATTAATGGATCCAATACATAATCCTCAATCAATCTACAATGAAAATGTTCATGCTTTTAGTACCTACTATGATTGCCATCTGTTTCTTTTTAAACTAGAATCTCTGTGTTTTTGACTTGTGATCTTATGGTCTCGCCTCTCAACAGGAAGATGCTGTCGCTCTCTCGAGCAGTGGTGTCTGGGGTGGCCCGCGCTCCAGCTGCAGTCAGCCAAGCTGGAGTGACCGCTATCACCAGATATAACAGCACAGCACAGGTACCTGGTTTGTATTTAGTTTATACTATGGTTAAAATGTAAAAACAAAAAAAAGTTTTAATATTTGATGTGTTGGAATTATTTTTCCAGAATGCTCCTAAGAAAACCACATTTGGACCTCTAGCAGATGAGGACAGAATTTTCACAAACCTGTATGGACGTCATGACTGGAGGTAACATGCTCTGTATAACTTTAAACATTGTGTGCAAAGTGATTTGATTGATGCACCCACACAATATGAAATAATGTCATGGACAGTAAAAGTAAAAAAGAATCCTTATAACACAATGCTCTATTGCTAATATTTGTGCTCCAGGCTGAAAGGTGCACTGAAGCGTGGAGACTGGTACAAAACTAAGGAGATCCTTTTGAAGGGGGTCGACTGGGTCCTCAATGAGATCAAGGTCTCTGGTCTGCGTGGCAGAGGTGGAGCTGGTTTCCCTACAGGCATGAAGTGGAGCTTCATGAACAAGCCCAGCGATGGCAGGTCAGTGAGGAGACGGACAGATTCACACCTGTACTTTGTTTTTTATGTATAAACACACCATGGCTGGGCGATATGGACCAAATAAAGAATAATAATTTTAGATGACATGCTCCTTAAATACAATAAAATATATTTAAAAGTTCCTTTCCTGCATAACAAAATAGACACTGCTGTGTTTTTTGTTATTCAGGTGGTTTTTGAGTTTTGCTCAGAGAGAGACAGAGGAGGATGAAGCGGGTCACACAAGTAGATGAGAAATAGGATAACTGTACAGAAGAAACATATAGTTATTTTAACACAACATCATCTATATCAATATAAGCCATATTGTAATGCCCTATATCTCATTAGAAAATATATTAATATTCAATTCAATTCAAAAAACTTCATTTGTCCCCGGGGGGCAATTCAAAGGCACACAGAGCAGTAAATTAACAACAGTGCAGGTAGACGAAACATTGTAAACCTAAAATAGAAAGTGTCAATTTAAATACAACCTAAAGCTTAAACTTAACTTAAAATACAAAATATAAAAAGAGTAGATATAAGTGGAAAACTCAAAGTTCAAAACTCTGTATGTCGGCCAGCACTAAAAGAAACAACCCTATTTTTGGATTCAAAACAAGAACAACATTGTGATGCAACAACAGGGATAGTTATCTGTCATAACAGATCACCTTTTCATCCCTCTGGAGCCAAAATGAAATTTGGTGTATTAAAGATTCCAAATACAGCTTCTTTAGGTGACATTTTATCCCAATTCTTTGTTTTAGGCCAAAGTACTTGGTTGTGAATGCTGATGAGGGAGAACCTGGCACCTGTAAGGATCGTGAGATCATGAGGAATGACCCACACAAGCTGGTGGAGGGATGCCTGATCGCTGGGATGGCAATGGGGGCACGCGCTGCTTACATCTACATCAGAGGAGAGTTCTACAATGAGTCGTCCAACCTGCAGGTGAACCTGGACAGAAACCTGCCGTTATCAACTGAAAACCAACAGAGTACAAACACTTGTGCACTTTTCAGTAATGTTTGAAATCAGTTTATAGGAAAAGATTCAAGTAGCTTAAAACATGTAACCTATTAAGATTTCTTTATTTAAAATATCCAGTTCCAAAATCACTAATTACATTTAAACAATTCTAAGAACAGAACAAATCAACAGAGTGACAAATGCAGAAGAATGAGACCAAAAAGAAAACTGATGAGTGCAGCCAAAACAAAATCAAGAGCAGTTTTCTGCAGAATGAATTCTCAAAACCTCAAATGTAGCTTTTTATATGAGCTCTATTTAATGAAGTTGGTCTGATTATTATATTATTCCTTAAATAATATGAACATCTATACATTACATATGACCTTTTTACATCATGGCATGGTCTTATAGATGGATTTAATATGCTTTGAAATGTTTTAAAGTGCTGTATTTTCAATATGCTTTTCTAGGTTGCTATTAATGAAGCCTATGCTGCGGGGCTCATTGGAAAGAACTCCTGCGGCTCTGGTTATGACTTTGACGTGTTTGTAATGCGAGGAGCTGGAGCGTACATCTGTGGGGAGGAGACCGCTCTTATTGAGTCACTAGAGGGCAAGCAAGGGAAACCCCGCCTGAAGCCCCCCTTTCCTGCTGACGTGGGTGAGTTCTAGAGAAACCAAGTGTGGAATATAGAATAGAATTACTTTATTGAGCCCAAACTGGGAAATTGTGGTGTTACAGCAGAAGGTTATCAGAGCAAATAAAACATTATAAGATAGATACATAAATAAGCACCTAGAATATAAAAAATAAGAAGAGATTTATACATCAAGGATTTAACTTAACCATTCCTACTGGTTGAGGAAAAAAATGAAAAATTAAATACAACATTTATTCAGGCTTGTCAACTGAATGTAAAAATACTTGCTGGAGGTAAGAGGTGTAAGTTTGTAAAAACAGTGATGACACTGGTAATTATGTATTAACAATATAGAGGGTTCTCTAGAGCTGTGCAAATTCATGGCTGTGCAATCAAAGATATATATGTTAAAGTTATAGTATAACAACATAAAGAATATACAAGTATAACTGATACATCATATACATGAAACAGTTTTGTTATTTGACTTATCTAAATGTTGGTCACTAATGCTGAACACTTTTGTTATTGTGAAATCAATTAAAAGCATTTTCTAAAATGTCAATATACCTTTTTTGTTTCAATCCTGAAGGTGTGTTTGGTTGCCCAACAACTGTTGCAAATGTGGAGACGGTATCCGTGGCTCCCACAATCTGTCGCCGTGGAGGCTCGTGGTTTCTGGGCTTCGGCAGAGAGAGAAACTCCGGCACAAAACTCTTCAACATCTCTGGCCATGTTAACAACCCCTGCACTGTGGAGGAGGAGATGTCTGTTCCTCTCAAAGATCTCATTGAGAGGCACGCAGGTACAGATATGCAGAAGAAATACTCACAAAAATGAGAGACATAGTAACTGAGACAGCATTTTTTTTTATTTAAAGGATGAAGTTAATTAATAGTGATGTTTCACTGATGTGAGTTTTCGATTTTGTCTAAAAAAAATGCTTGTGATGTAAAGAATTTTCCCTTTAAATTATTTAATGTGAAGTGAAACTGACAGAAAGGGAAAACCTTAATGCTTCAGTTGTTTGTCTGCACTTGTTTATCTGCCAAGGGGATCAGCAAGTTTAAAGATTAAGTCAGCTTAACATAAGCACAACATAAGTCAATGCAGTTTTTACTTCATTTTACTTAATTGAAAGAAACATCTGTCTGCTAGGTGGAGTGCGCGGTGGGTGGGATAACCTGCTCGCTGTAATCCCGGGCGGCTCCTCAACACCCCTCATTCCCAAGAATGTGTGTGAGGAGGTGCTGATGGACTTTGACGGCCTCATCCAGGCTCAGACCGGTCTGGGCACGGCTGCTCTCATCGTCATGGACAAATCTGTACGTCTGTCTACCCTGCAGCATCAGTCACTACTCGCTGAGAAATACAAAAAAAAACATGTGTTACATTGATAAATGTATTGCTTTTTCAGACTGACATTATCAGAGCAATTGCCCGCCTGATTGAGTTTTACAAACATGAGAGCTGTGGTCAGTGCACACCCTGCAGAGAGGGTAAGTCACACTTTAATCTACACTACACCAGTTGGTTCTCTGCCTCCTTACATACTTATGAATATCATTTTCCCTTTGATCTGTCTCTGCAGGAGTGGACTGGATGAATAACATGATGTGGCGTTTTGTGCGCGGTGATGCTCGGTCGGCAGAGATTGATATGATTTGGGAAATCAGTAAGCAGATTGAGGGTCATACTATCTGTGCTCTTGGAGACGGTGCAGCATGGCCAGTGCAGGTAAACATGAATATTCAAAAACAGGATAATTGAAAGGATTAAAAGAGAACTGTAAAATATTATTCAGTCAAAATACTGTAGGATTGGATCCACACATCACCGGAAGACTTAAAACATCTAAATTAAAAAAAACCTTCAAGATAAATGATGTATGATCTTTCTTTTATCCCAGGGATTGATCAGGCACTTCAGGCCTGTGATGGAGAGCAGAATCACTGAATACCAGCAGCAGCAGCAAGCCAGGGCTTAAACGGCCCCTTTGACACCTTGAACTCCTTCTTCTGCCTCATTTGTCCTTAGCCTTCTACTTTTGTCACTGGCAAATTATTTAAAGTGATAATGTGCCATCACATAACCTCTTCATCAAGATTTCCATTGGTGTTTGCCTTGTCCTATTACAAATAAAGTGCTATAAATCACAAACAAGATTTTTGATTTTTTTGTGTGTGCATGTTTGTACAGTTGCAAGAAAAAGTATGTGAACCCTTTGGAATTACTTAGTTTTCTGCATAAATTGGCCATAAAATGTGTTCTGATCTTCATCCAAGTCTCAACAATAGACAAACACAGTCTGCTTAAACTAATACCACACAAACAATTATATGTTTTCATGTTTTTGTTGAACACAACATGTAAACATTCACAGTGCAGGGTGGAAAAAGTATGTGAACCCTTGGATTTAATAACTAGTTGACCCTCCTTTGGCAGCATTTCCTATAGTTGCAGATCAGACCTGCACAACGGTCAGGAGGAATTTTGGACCATTCCTCTTTACAAAACCTTTTCATTTCAGCAATATTCTTGGGATGTCTGGTGTGAATCTCTCTCTTGATGTCATGCCACAGCATCTCTATCGGGTTGAGGTCAGGACTCTGACTGGTCCACTCCAGAAGGTGTATTTTCTTCTGTTGAAGCCATTCTTGTTGTTGATTTACTTCGGTGCTTTGGGTTCGTTGTCCTGTTGCATCACCCATCTTCTGTTGAGCTTCAGTTGGTGGACAGATGGCCTTAAGTTTTCCTGCAAAATGTCTTGATAAACTTGGGAATTCATTTTTCCGTCGATGATAGCAATCTGTCCAGGCCCTGATGCAGCAAAGCAGCCCCAAACCATGACGCCCCCTCCACCATACTTCACAGTTGGGATGAGGTTTTGATGTTGGTGTGCTGTGCCTTTTTTTCTCCACACATAGTGTTGTGTGTTCCTGCCAAACAACTCACCTTTGGTTTCATCTGTCCACAGGATGTTTTGCCAGTAGTGCTGTGGAACATCCAGGTGCTCTTTTGCAAACTACAAACGTGCAGCAATGTTTTTTTTAGACAGCAGTGGCTTTCTCCGTGGTGTCCTCCCATGAACTCCATTCTTGTTGAGTGTTTTACGTATCGTAGATTCGTCAACAGAGATGTTAGCATGTGCCAGAGATTTGTATAACTCTTTAGCTGACACTCTAGGATTCTTCTTCACCTCATTGAGCATTCTGCACTGTGCTCTTGCGGTCATCTTTACAGGACGGCCACTTCTAGGGAGAGTAGCAACAGTGCTGAACTTTCTCCATTTATAGACAATTCGTTTGACCGTGGACTGATGTACATCAAGGCTTTTAGAGATTCTTTTGTAACCCTTTCCAGCTTTATGCAAGTCAACAATTCTTAATTGTAGGTCTTCTGAGAGCTTTTTTATGCGAGGCATGGTTCATATCAGGCAATGCTTCTTGAGAATAGCAAACTCAAACCTGTAGTGTGTTTTTTATAGGGCAGGGCAGCTTTAACCAACACCTCCAATCTCGTCTCATTGATTGGACTCCAGGTTGGCTGACTCCTGACTCCAATTAGCTCTTGGAGAAGTCATTAGCCTAGGGGTTCACATACTTTTTCCATCCTGCACTGTGAATGTTTACGTGTGTTCAACAAAAACATGAAAACATATAATTGTTTCTGTGGTATTAGTTTAAGCAGGCTGTGTTTGTCTATTGTTGATACTTAGATGAAGATCAGAACACATTTTATGACCAATTTAATCAGAAAACTAGGAAATTCCAAAGGGTTCACATACTTTTTCCTGCAACTGTATGTAGGAACATGTCTAAAGGAACGCCTTTTTTATCTTGTGTACTTTTTAACTGTAAAAAATAAATGTATCAAATCACGTCAAACAAATATAGATGTAAGTCTCCCCTGAATTATTTTCCTCATACTTTGCTGTTGTTTATTGTAGACTAAAAAAATGATCTGAATTCCCCAGACATAATTTAAGAGTATTTTAATGTGTAAAAAATATTGCTGCTCATAGTTGAAGATCTTAACTGTTACTTCAAGGACCAAACAGTCACTGTTTTACAATGATTAAAGAAAATCATGATGAGTAAATTAATGAAAAAAACTGACTGATTTGGCAGAAAGTGTAACAGGAAAAAAATAAAGAGGTTACCTACAGATTAAAAATATATTATTGTTCAGTTATTAAAGATTTAAACAATGGTTTCACGTTTTGAAAATTTGATCTGTATAGTCACTTTTTTAATTTGGAAATTTTGTTGATTAAAATTGTCATTGGCAATGTTATTTGCACTATCAACTCAAATCTCGCGATATCAGGGGCCTCTCCCTTGTCACGTGATGTGGAGGCAGCTTCATTTCGGTGGACGCTTCGAACGGTAGGAAATGGAAACCCTTTTGAATTGTTTACCATGAGTTTAGTTGAAAATTATTTTAATTCCACCAACAAACGCACGAAGGGTTGACCAAAAAGCTAGCAGAATGCGACGCTTTTTGAAATCTCGCTAAAATGTATGAGCTCGTAATTATAGCTGTGCATGTGGCGCAGGGTCTGCGTTCTCCATCCTTGTGTCAACTAGCTTTGCAATAAATTGCTGCTTTTCCCAATAAACTACTTGTTTGATCAATTAAAAAAGCGTTTTTCTTCAGCATGGGAATGATTTAAGAAAATGTGTTATGTTTTCACTGAACCCCTGTCAAATGTTTGATTATGTATTTAAAATGTCCCATTGCTTCGTAACGTGACGCCAGTGCTTTTGAAGCTAACCCTCTGTCGTTGTAGTGACTGTGTCATTGCAGACACCTGAACATAGTATTGATGGTTTCAAGTGTTTGTTTGTATAAACTCCAGCAGCGTGGAAGCTCCTTGTGTCTGTGCTAGTGTTTGAAAGCTCCAGCATCGAAATGTACAAAATAGAGCATGTCATCGTGGGAAGCGAAGTGAAACCCGCCGCAAAGGAGATGAAAACGGAGACTCTTGTCGGTCCTTTGCAGTCCTGTAAGCCAACATTTGTTTTTGAAACATTATATTTTTTTGCTTTGTTGTGAATCTACCTTTAAGTGTCTTATTTACTAATCTCCAAAACCCATGTTATTTTATGGTGATGCAGACCAGCATGAGAGTCTGCAGTGTTTCCAGTGCTTCATCACATTCTGTAACGCCAAAGCCAAGGAGCGACACATGAGGAAGAGTCACCGGGAGCTGTACAAGCAACAGCTGCAGCAGGTAAACACAATAAACATGCAAGGTCAGCTTCCTAGAAGTGATACAAGCCCAGATAATCAAGTCGTGTGCTGAAGTGCTGAAACCGATTATTTTCTGTATTAAAGAAATTATTAGTTAATTGCTTTATCAATTTATTGTTTAGTTTATGATACATGACTATCTAATGACATATCCCATTGGGAAAATTGGTTCAGCCAATTGCTTGTTTTGTCTTAAAAACTAACATTTCTCACAAATGAGATGTTGTAATTCGCAGGGATTCCTTTAGGTAATCAATATTTATGAATAAGAAAAAAAACCCAATATTAATCAGCCAAGATCTGTCATTGAAAAAGCATTTTTTGTAATTGTATTTTTTAATTTGTTATGGTATATCTGCGTTAGTTTACAATGTTGGCTGGGCTGTTTTATCAGTTATACTTCCATGTAGACTTCCTGAATATTTAAGTCTTTTTGTACATATCATTTTCAATTATGAACTGAAGACAGTTTTGTTTGTAAATGTCCCCCTGTGAGTAAAATTAAATTTTGTAACCGTTTGACATCATTTTTAAGAATCATTGAAGAAAGCATTGGGTGCTGCTTTCATATTTTAAACCAGTTTTTCTGCTCATCATTTTGCAGACTGACACAGTCTTCACTTGCTACCAGTGTGACAAAAGCTTCCCGTCTTCTGAGATGCTCAGTGAGCACCAGGTCAGCCACAGCACAGAGGAGAAGCCTTTCAGCTGTACCTACTGCAAGAAAACCTTTTTAACTTACACTGAGGTGAGGACGCAGCAGGTAACATGTTAGCATGATAGATTATTAAATAACCGTTTAAATGTCTATGCTGTTTGTTTAATGTCTTGCAGGTGAACAAACACAGAAGACACGATTGCATAGGGCGAAAGTTTCCCTGCAGGGATTGTGGCGCCCTGTTCCAGAGTACTTCACGACTGCGCTACCATCGCATTGCAGAGCACCCCAAGGGCTCGTTAATTGCTGATGATGTCAACACCTACCAGTGCTGTAAATGTAGCTGTGGTTTTCAGACAGAAAAAGAACTCCTGCAGCACCAGGAAACATTTGCTGATAGTGTTAACTGTGACGTTAAGCCCCAGGGTAAAAAACGCGGCCGGAGACCGAAGAACGCAGCTCAAGGAGGGACGATTGAGGGCAAGAAGTTCAAAACAGAAGAGGAATCAGAGGAAGGATGCAACGACTCTACAACGGAGGGATGCTCATCTAATGAGCCACAAACGCAGCTCAAAATTCCCTGTCCTGAAGCAAACTGTGATCTCCTCTTCCCTTCTGTTACAGCACTGCGGGCACACAAGAGAGGGGAACATGGGCCGACCTCTCTCAAGCCTCACAGATGCACAGAGTGTGACGAAAGCTACGCTCAACCTGAGCAGCTCAAAGCTCACATTTCTCAGTCTCATGGTTCTGAATACAACTGCCCCACCTGTGTAAAGAGCTTTACAACAGAGGGCGATCTGCAGATCCACCAGAACACCCACACTGATGGAGAGGAGGTAGCAGAAAAAAGATAATGTACAGTTATAAAGACTGCAGCTTCATCCTACACCATTCAGTTAAATACTTGTCAGAGTATTTCTTCCTATCCCCTTTGTGTAGGTAGATATGTGAATAGTTTAGGGTGAGTATTTGAAGGGAGGTTATGCAACACAATTGAATTATGGAAGTTGCTTCTGGACTGACATTTTTCAATTGCTTTTATAAATACCGTACATCCTACACTTGTGAATAAAACTGTACCAATCAGTGCATAAACATGATTAACTAGCGCCATGAGCTCATGGTGTTAATATTACCGCTACTGTACTGGAAATATTTATATTAATTGAAGATTATCTGGTTCATTACCACTCAATTGTGGAAATATTTTGTATTTAATGGTGCAGTTTATTCTTAGGAAAGTCATTAAGGTTATAATTGTACTTGGAATGTAAGTCCTATCATAAACAATCCAAAATCTCCTGAATGGGCCACTGTATACAATGCTATGCCTTTATGACGAATGATGTATTCTCTGGGTCTTTGTTTACTCTTTCAACCATTAAATTGTTGCTGCCTTGAACAAAATGTTTGTCTCTAGTGTTTTTATTGAAGGGCAAAATGTAAAGGGGTTTGTCAACTAAGACAGAAAAACACCAAAGTAGTCTTATTTACATTAACGTAATAGTCGTGGGTTATGGTAGAGACTGTCCTCTGTGTAATTTTAAAGATACAAACTTTATTTTTGTGAGAGATTTGAGATTTCTTTTCAGAAAGTTGTTATGCAAATGATCTAAAATCATAATTTTGACCATTATGAATGACTATCACCAGAAATAGACAATTTAAAACTGCATATTCATAGTATAATAAGTACGGTAGTGTCCTGCTTTTAGGACACCTGCTCCTTCAGGTGAATACATTTATACTACCAGTAGAAGTGATGCATAGTAATAGTTTTAAATAACATTTGCATCTTGACTATTCTTTAGTGTATTGTTAAAATTCAAAGTAGGGGTAAGTACACTACTACATTTTAGGTTTTACTCCTTACATGTATGGTATATCTTAGACTTGAATGTTGAGATTTACACATTTAATCTCTCAGAAATTACTTTGCTATGGTTTTGAAAAACTACTTCAAACTGCAGTTTGAATTAGTGTAATATATTAAGCAACATAATATATATATATATATATATATAAAACTTGTAATATTCATTGTTTACATTATAATGTATTGCAACTTTTACCAAAGTAGGTGATCTGAATATTTCTAAAACTACTCTGTTGTTGCCAAAATTATGTGTTCAGGTTTTATGCATTTTATTTCATGAACAAGAATTGTAAAAACAATTTTGATAAGAGAGAGATTTTGTATGCAGTAGAAGTCGCGCAGTGTTTCGGATCGGAGAGCGTCAAGTGTCGACGAAGTTCGTTTTCCCATGATGCATCTGTGTTTCCACTCTATCTCGCGCCTTTGCCTCTGCGCAGTCCATCTTGCTCTCTTCATATCGCTGCTGTCAGCCTCTGCTGCCAGCGCGCCGTCCGTGTTGTTGTAGTAAATAATGGCGGCATCGGGAGGCGGATTATCACCTCCCGCTACCGTCGCGGGCTTGAGCACACTAGCTCCGGCCAAGGCTCGTTTCCCCGGTCGACCATGCACGGCTCGAAGCAGGCTGCGGTCGGAGAAACGTTCCAGACGCGGAAGGCTAGGCTCGGACGATGGGGAGCTGGCTGACGGAGGGCCGAGGCCCGTAAACATCGGTTTAGCGTTGAGCGAGGACCCGTCCCTGCTGCGCCTGCTCGGGGTGGCGGAGAAGCACAGCCGGCAGAGAGAAGCGGGGTTCGACTCCAGCAACAGTGAGGAGGTGAATAAGCTAACTATAGCATGTCAGCTACACGGGTTACGTTTCGCTATATGGAGCACTTGGATGCATTTCATTTCAAATAGCAACATTGAAAACTATTTGTGTATTACTTAATAAAAACATTTAAGCTAATGTAGAGCTAGTTAGGGGGAACTTATCCAGCGAACACTTAATCATTGTAGCTAGTCGTGTTCCTGCAGGCTATGTTTAAGATTGGTTGGTGGGCGAATGTTTCCAGTCTGCCGCCTCTTCAGATATTAATAGTTGATAACCTGATTTAAATTGTCTATATCAGTGCTGTAAGTTGAAACAGCCATATATTTAAAGAGATCAGTGTCCGCACAGCTGTGTTTGTTTGCAGCGGAAGAGCGGAAACTTTGGCGGTATGATAACAATCGTGAACGGGTGTTTGTTGTAGAAACCGGGAAATGTCTTTGTTTTTATCCCCAACTCAACATTTTGTTTGTTGAGATCAATTCATCCCACATACAGACTATCAATCTTGTCGTTGTTTAAACGTCGCTGTGACTTAACCTGGAGATGACTCTCTCCACGTTGGAGCGGTCAGCTGACTGCTCGGTGTTTTGAACGTCAGAATAACAAAGTGGGATGCTAAAGGACAAGAAACATCAACGTTACTAGTTACAAAAAAGATGCAGAAATTGGACCATCCACTCATCATCTCTTCCAGTATCTAACTTTTCTTAAAACACACGTCAGTACAGTCTATGTTTACAAATATTCACCTCCACCATCACACATATCTCCAATTTTCATATTCGGGTTTAGAGGTTAAGTGGTTTGAAAGGTTAAGCTAAAAAATTCAAAAGGTTTTCCTACCTTTTTACAATTGTTTTTAGAAAAGCAGCATAGTTTAAGCATGCCAGTGGTCTGGCATAAGTGGAACAAGCAGAACATTATTGCTTGCTTAAATTTTCAATCCAAATGGATGAAGATTAACATGCTTGGGGCGGCAGTAGTAGCTGTCTGTAGGGACTTGGGTTGGGAACCAGAGGGTCGTTCTCGTGCGGACCAAAAATACAGAACCTGTTCTGGTAGCTGGAGAGGTGCCAGGGCACTTCCCGAGTACTACTGATGTGCCATTGAGCAAGGCTCCGAACCCCCCACCTGCTCTGGTGCGCTGAGCGTAGCAGCCCCAGACTCTGACATCGCTCCACTAATGCATATCCACATGTCCTGTTTGTGCATGGGTGTGACGTGGGCCTATTTGTGTGAGAAGCATGTCTCTAAATAACGGAGTGTAAACCAGAATTACCGTAATTAAGTATTTCAGAATTAAAAAAAAAAAAATGAATTGAGGGTTGTTGTTAGACATACAGTGTTTGAGGGATGGTGTGATTGTGAAGTGGATTGATGTAGTCTTAAATTACTGTAATTGTTATTTTACTTTTACAAAAGCTCATAATGTAACCTGATAGTGGAAACGTTAATAGTTAGATTATTGTTTATTAACTTCTGATACTGTATCGATTAACGAAAACACTGTATTTATTTTTTAATATTGCCAAATATTTAATATATCACTATATTTTCAGTTTTAAACGATGTAACATACCATATTTTATTGCCAGAGTGAAATACAAAGTTCAGTTTATTAGACCCACCTAATTATTTTTTACTTGTATTCAGAAAGTAATGCTGTAGTTTTTCTAGACCATCAAAGACTACATCTAGCAAGAGGCATACAAAGACATATTTGACCAACGAGCAAAGACTTGAATCTGCAGCACAGTATAGGAACTAGTGTGTCATTGACTACCAAGTCGGTCTGCTTTAAACCCATGCAAGACAGGATTCTGATAATGATATAATGCCAAATCGGATCTCATCATATTATTTAATCTTCCGAGCAGGGGGTTTAGTGTCTGACATCAGTCAAAATTCACTGACGCAATCCCTTTGGAGTGGACTGTAACAGAATCACATGGCCCGGGCTTAAGCTTGTGGGTGCTTCTCAACTGGAGTACCACACGTCACTCAGTGCATCTCTGCATCTCGCACTTGTGTGCCCTTAAGTGCTTTTGAATGGACTCTCATGTTGATGAATATTTGGAGCTGTTACTTTTGCCCATGACGATGGATGTGAGTTATTAAAGATGAGGTAGGCTTTTGTTTTGCTTTAGTGAGACATCTTCAACTTGACATGTTTCTGAATGAGAGGTTGCTGGATGCATGCTTTGCTTCAAAGTGTCTGTAAACTTATGTAGAAATTAAGTATGAATTGTTATCACTCTTTCAGGGTACATGAAGCTTACTTAACAATTGCAGTTTGGCTGAAGTGCTCCTCTAATTAACTAAAGATAAAATATTGCATATATCATTCAGTGTACTGTATCTCACAGTTCTAGAGATGGTGAATAGGTAGTGAGCCCGGTGAATTTTGTTGTTTTTAATTGTTGACTCATATATTGAAACCAAAATCTGCTTGGTTTGTTGCCTCAGCAGCACACTGATGCAACACTGTAGTAAGAGTAAAGAGCTTTGACTGTTACTGCAGCAGCAGGGACAGTACCTGATAATCCATCTATGGACTCAGAAATGGGAGGGAGTTGAAAAAAGAAAGTAGATGTTTGCGTTCTCACCAAGGGATGTATGGTTGTATCAGTTGACTCGGTATCTACCGATAGCTTCCTTGTTGACATCAGCAAATAACGTGGTATACACTGTAGGTCAGAAGCCTTTTTGTTTTTTGCATCAATTTAATGCTGGCAAGCTAGTATATCTAACTGCTAATTCAGAGAATGTTTCTTGTTGGGTAGAAGAAGAAGTCATCAGTTGTACAAACTCTGATTCATCTTCATGGTCAAACGTGAAAACGTCAGGTGTGTGGGAGTCTAAGATCAGCAACATTTAATATGTATGACATGTTCAAGTGAAGAATTATGAAAAGAAACACAATGGTATTGGAATCGTAAATCGGCTAAATTGTTATATTAATCATTGTTATTGGCCAGTGAAGTCTAATGTAAGGTTTGACTTTCGATTGAAAAGTTTCTGTAAGCGCTGACATTTTTACAATTTCTTTAAATATTAATGATGAAAGTATTTCATATTTGGTACATTGCTTTGTTTTCCTTTTTTTTCTCAGATTGATGACCGCCAATATTAGCCAAATCAAGAAAATCAAGAAACATATTTTAAACCATAATCGGGATGTAAAGCAGAACACAGACATTGGCAGCTATAAGGGCAGGGTTTGATAAGGAAACAAAAACATTTTATTATCAATATTGCTTTTTTTTTGACTGTCGAAATGTAAATCTCATCAGATCAATTAAAATAAATCTAGATTGTGACACGGTAAATTTAAGATCAGCGACATGACTTAATCTGTTTCTCAACATGCATTATGATGGAAAATACGCACACAGACATGTGTCTATGCACCTGAAACTTAATCACTGTTGTTGATTTAATCACAATATACTCATGAGAGAAAGTAGTTAGTTGTTTAATTACAGGGCTCAACACAAACTTTAAAAGTGATGAGTAGAAAAACCACATCCCCTCCCTCTGTAATTTTTACTCACCTGTTTAATTTGAGTATTTAGGATAGTATGCTTTTATATATCAAACTCAAATATGATGCAAGTTATTTTCAAATCTTTATTACTGTCTAGACTAAACTCTTTAAAGTTTAAGTTTCATTTGAAAAAAAAAGACACAAATTTATGAAAATGTATTTTTAATCAGGACAAAATCCCTCCCTCCTTTCCAGTCTTAGAAAACAAGTATATGGCAGCTGTTTTCTTGATCTTTACAGAACTAGCAGGTCACTTGTTGGTTGTATCCAAGACTTATGCAAACATTTATCTTGTTTATTTTCTTCCTTAATAAGACAGTTGGCACTGATGGCAGCCAAATGAAGCCAAAGGAAAATAATCGGAGGACAATTTGTCATATTTGTAGCCCATGACAAACTGGCAACTGATACCGACTTTTTCTTATCCTCTTCAGAAGTGCTTTTTTATCTTGGCTAGCAAACATCATTTTTTAAACGGCCAGTTAAGCTTTAAGGTTTATCTTGGTGCAAGGATACGGTTTTGTGTTTTTTTAGCAGGTTGTGTACAGCATCCCTATCTTTATTAATAAATGTCCAGATACTGCATTAACACCAAGCTAACGGTTGTTTTTGTCTGTATTTGTCTCCAGGAGGAGGATTTCACTGGATTTGGGACCTCGTCCGTTCGTCCACAGAGATCTTCTGGCACTGTTCCCCAGTCTTCTCCTCTAGGAGCTTCAGATTGCTCTCCTGGAAAACCTCTTATTGGAAAAATTATACCCAGGACCCCAAAACCAGCTCTGATTGGAAAAATTGTCCCTAATGTCCAAGAAGAGGGCCATGACGTAAAAGACATTGAAATACCAAAAGTGGTCAATAAACTGCGAGGCAAGCAGGTAGATCGCACTGCAGCAGAGCAGGCTTCAGGTAAACTTAGCAGCACAAAGTCAGCTGACTTTGTCAGGAAAGCAGGAAAATCAGCAGGCTCTCGCAGCTTGAAAAACCAAACCACCGCAGCAGTTGAGCTGATTAGCACTCAGACAGCAGTCATTGGCCACGATAAAGCTTCTACAGTCAAAGAAAGAGGCGAGGTGTCAGAGGACTCCGGCACGGACCAATCACAGTCTCGGAGAGCCGTGAAATGCAGGAGGGGCTTTCCACTGGGGCACGCTAGACACACATCTCAAGCAGTTGCTCTGTCCTTTCCCAAACGGAACCGTAAGAGGACGGCTAAGGGAATGGCTACTTCACCTGAGGCAGGTGCACAGAGCGGGGAGGAGGAGGAGGAGGAGGCGGCGATGCCCCTGAAATGTAAAGCTACAGATTCCCCATCAAAAAGAACGCACAAAAGAGGACGCCGATCTTTGTTTGGGCACAGGCGGAAGCAGTTGAAGGACGGTCCACTCATTAAGTACCCCAAAGTAGCTCGCAATCGCACTAAACGCGTTTTTTACGCCTACGTAGCAGAGCCCATTCCAGGCACAGAGACCCCTGATGGGCAGCTACATGGTCCGAGTACTACTCCATCACATGGTGAGACGAGCTTATTTCCTGAACAAGTCCAGCCGAGCTCAAACAACTCCTTTACCACGGTAACGAGCGGACGATCCTCACGCGTTATAAAAGCTCCAAAGAGGTTCTTGGACGAAGAAATGATTCCATTTCCAAAAGGTTCTCTGTCAACATACCTGAAGAGTCAAAAGAAAGAGGACGGAAAACCAAGTCCATCATGTCAGGAGTCAACCTATGACGACAGCTCGCTGCTGTCGGACAGTGACTCTGAGTCTGAGGTTGAGAGTCCGTCTGCTGTGACAAAGTTCCCATTAAAGCCAAGCCCGGGCACAAGCCACCTCGAGATCTACAGGAACCTCAAGAAACTCACCTTGAAACTCGCTGAGAAAAAGAAAAGCCAGCCAATCCCTCAGGGAGATGACACACAACCTGCAGAGGGTTTGACCTCTAATGTCAAGAAGAGGCGGAGGTCCAAGGTCATGGTGGAGGAGATGGACTCTCCCGGTGTTGTGAGGAGACTCGCCATCGTGGTGAACAAGGACGTGCAAGCATCTTCACATATGCCATTGGGAGACAAAGGCGACAACAGCTGTAAGGATTTTCTTTGATATTAGTGTTTAATCTTTTACAACATCTCTCCTGGATTATCATTGAAATGTTATTTGATCTTAATTAGACTCAAATATTATGTTCAAGTTAAACTTGTTGAAATAAGGTTTTATTTAATCAGCAGATACGTCTACATCGTCTACATTTGTTGGGGGTTGTATAAAAGACTTTGTTTATTTTTGCTTTTTTTTGGTGCAGGTGAAGCAAGAAGTGAAACCGGGGACAGTCATGAAGTGTTGGAAGTTAGCGGACTCAGCCATCGGATCGGTCTCAGTGGAGCTAATAAGACGATGCTCCACCTGCTGAAGAAAGCAAAAGTCCAACTCTTCAAGATTGATCAGCAGAAGCAGCTGAAGTTGTCGCAGGTAAGAAGCTGAGGTTAAATCTGCCCGATGTATAAAGAGTCTTAGTGCTTAAAAACTTCAAAGATAAGTATGATTATTATTTTTAGTCTGAACTTTAATCAGAAAGCAAATAGCTACTTCGGTTGATTGGGAAAGTTGTATTAACATCTCTAACTTTAAACTTTTATTTTCTTTCATTGTCTTGACCAATAGTTTGGCTCCAAAGAAACACTGGTACCAGTGAGTGGAAGAAGGAGGAGGAGGAGGAGACGAGTTGGCATATCACCCAAAGATGACAGTCCACAGGTAATCAACATTTCATGTCAAAATAAGTGTTTGAGTTTTTATCTTTCCTGAGAATCCCCACCAGTGCCTTTGTTTGTGTTTGCTGAGCTCATGGGAATAAGTACACAGGATAATTGTCTCTTGGGCCTTTAGACTCCAACATACAGGAAAACATTTTTTTTCTTAAATAAGACATGCAACTCCAATATCAGTTTTTATGTACTAAACAGGAAACAGAAAAAAATAAGTATTTATTGTTTTTGGGATCTGTTAATGTAAAGATTACACAACATAAAGGGTAGATTGTGCAATAGCACTTTTTATCTTTTTGTCGTCATAAGAAATTCATTGGGAGGTTGTTTTTCCTAGTTTCTATAGCTGTTTTTAACTGTTTTCTTTTTTTAAGCTCACAGATTTTTTTGTGTCTGTTTGTGTGCAGGAGCAGCCACTAGGCGGTCCTAGGATCAAACATGTCTGTCGTGCAGCAGCTGTGGCTTTGGGGCAGCCCCGTGCAATGGTGCCTGATGATATTCCCAGACTTAGTGCCCTGCCACTACATGAGAGGGAGGGCATCACCTTTTCTCCTGCAACAGAAGGTACAGAGCACCTGTGTGTCCTTGTTTATCAGTAGAATGTAGTTTTTCTTTGTCTACACCAACGAAGGCAGAGAACTTCAGGTCATTTCACATTGCCCTGTTTATGTGCAATGGTTTTCCATAACAGCGACGTGTAAATCTCAAGTTGTTGGTCTTCATGGCACACCTCTTTTGCCTCTACAATCCAATAACACTCGCTGAAATCACACACTAGGACAGCAATATAACTGAGCTGTTTAGTCGTGAAAAAATATGGAGTTGTCAAGATGGCTGTGGTGGAATCTCTGTGTTAGAGCTTAAAGTACTCTGGCGTGAGGCTGTGAGGGGAAGAGAATTAAAATAAACACATGTGGAAATGTATATTGGATAGCTTGATCAAGTTCAACTAAATCGCAAGAAACACAGCTCACATTCACCCTAACTAATGTTACTAGCCAATCAGAAACAGAGTAGGCGGGTGTCTGGCAACACTAGAACTGAGGGACCTAGTGATGTAGCATGTTATGCTAGGCGCTGCCTAGGCACATTTCCAGCCGATATGATCGTCATTTAAGACAAATGAACTACGTGATCGATCTCCCTCACTCTGTACCCCTCAGACATGTCGCAGGTCTTTATACTCTGCAGGTGACCAGAGAGAAAGAGAGAGACGTCCGCCCTGGGTCTTTTATTTAATTTCATTTATTTTCCCGTTTTGTGCAGCTGCTTGCTGCAGATGTGGTTATCTCTTGGTTTTGCTGCATGTTGATAAGAAGCCTCCCCGCATGAGGGTCACCTGTTGTGATAACAGGATCGCAAGTGAAACTAATTAAAACAAGTGTTTTTGTTATGTTGCACAGAACCCCCGAAAGCCAATCGGTGCATTCAGTGCAAACCCAGAAAAAATAATAATAATAAGAACACATCTTTACTACATGACCAAGCGTCAGAAATAAATCACATTCTGGATTATGTTTAAATGTTTATGTTTTCCATTCGTACATATGCAGAAACAAACCAAAATAATGGCAAACTAAATTATACATTAGCCACACAGAACACTTTTTTCTGTGTGAAAAAAACATTCTGCAGGGCTGGAATAAACACACTACGTCTCTCCAGTCCACATGTTTATAAAATGATTTTATTCAAGTGTGTTCACATCATTGTGTGAACATGTATCTGATGAACACTAGGAGAACACACAAGAGAATTGAAATCGACACTAAAGGATAAAAAGATTAGATCACAGTGTTTCCCCTAGGTTTACAGTTTTGGGGGGGTGGGGACAAGCCGACATGCTGACACGACAACACGACGACTTGAAGGAATCTTGGTGTTCATGTGTTACTTTTATTGACAGACGTCCTTTTCTTTTGGAAAGGTATCCTTAAATGACTTCTTTCCCTGATTTCCGACTATATCCATTATCCTATCTCTACAATAAAGGCACAAAAAGCCCAAAAAATAAATCTTAAAAAAAATAAGATAATAATAAAATATATATTAGATTATAATTATAAAGGGATAAGTTGGTGCAGAAAAACCGCAGGTCGGACTTGAACCCAGGCCTTCTGCTTGGAGCACCATAGCCCCTATAAATGGGATGGACCTAACTGCTAGGCCACCAGCGTCAATCATAACCACGTGTGTAGCCTATAATGAAAAAAAGCAGGTAAACAATACATAATTGAGATCAAGTGTGACTGTGTGTGAGATTAATTGTGCCTTAAGATAGTTAAAGACAGTCATGGTTCAGTGACGAGTAGAATAGTGTAATATAAACTATCATGTTTCTTTGGAGGACCTGAACAATGATCCATTCTGTGACACAGAATCCATGAGTCAATCTGAACTGCACTGTGTGATCTGTTACACATCTAGAAAATACTGTTCTATTCCACAATGACGTCAAAGTCAATTTTTCCTTCTCACTACAAATAAAACACACAAACACCTTGTTGTAGAACTTCCAGCTCAAAGCCCATATGTACATGTAAACAACAGTCGCCAGAAACCCTCGAACAAATAGAACCAAACATGTAAGATTGGAATGTGCAAAGGTAGCTAATGTACTAGCTTACACCGATACACAAGCTAATGTTAGCATTGGGTTGATATGACTACATATATGGTTTCATATTTGATGAAGACAAACAATCTGCCCACATCAAAACAAAACTCACATGTCCAACACTCTGCCATAACACTCTCGATAATGAAAGTTGTCCACATTTCATAACCGTGCTTCTGCATGAACCGTACTGCGCCAAAGCATAGCTCTTCCAAGCATACCAGGAGGGCCAAGGAAGTGAACCGTGCTTCAGCGCAGATCGGAGTACTCACACTAGTCAAACGAGCTGGACTTTAGGTGTGAAGCGTGCTTGGGCACGGTGCGGATTGCCTTGTGTGAGTGCGCCTTAAGATTGAAGTTGCTGGATTTTAGCAATTTTTTGCTAAAGTCTGGTAGTTTCCATTAATACTGCAGCATCAATTGTTGCCTCTGTGTAGTTGGACTTACTCCCACCTTCTAGTAGTCAGGATCAACATCATTCATTCACAGAATGGCTGTAAAAAAGTAAACAACTTGATAACATTACCATCTTCCAGGTAGGTTTTTTTTATAATCTCATTCATCTGTTCCAACTTCATTGGCATTGTCCAGAGCTAATTTATATTCTGCCATTTCTTTATTGGCAAAACTACTCTGCTAGTTTATTATGATGAAAACGTTCACCAGCTAAAACTTTCTTAAATGCTGCCATGGTGATGCCACTGCAGCAGTAACAAACACAGCGTAAAAATTATGAGAATTTTTAGCAAACATAATCTGCTGAGCACAAAAACAAAAAAATAAATATATATATATATATATTAGAAAACCTGCTCTTATTAGCTCAATGTAGTTGTAATACAAATACTTAAAAATACACAAAAATATCTTTTGTCACACACAGATTAGCCACCGCTGTTGGAAAGCTTTACCCAACACTGGTCGAGTGAGCATCACTCAGTATGAGGTGAGGAAGTGCCGCTTGGCCGCTTGACAAATGAACACATTAAGTGCTGGTAGGAAAAAAAAACTGATCTTTACACAAGATTATTCAAGCTACCGTCTTCATTGTGATTATGACAGCCATCACCTCTCAGTAATGTGTTTCTGTCTGAAGTTGCTTAGGGCCAGCTGGCATTAAAATACTCCCATTGGGGGTTGCAAAGACCCCCAGGGGAATCAAGGGATTACAGTTTCAAATGTATTTCCTGGTGTTTTCTAATTAACAAGAAGTCAAAGAATCAGTGTATTTGTCCGAGACCTCTGATGTGTTCATGCATTCACCTAACTTGATTCTAGAGTGACTCTTCGGCTTTGTTCAGACTGGTTTCCAGACTATTTAGGAAGCCTTGACAGGAAAAAATAAAAAAAAACAGTACTGTGACATATACTTATATATAGCTTATTCAGAGCCACATGTTTTCTCTAAAAAAAAAAATGTCTCACTCTGTACACACTGGCTGATCAAATTTGATTTGAGAGTCAAGTACACAAGCTTCATTCATCACTGATGTTTTTCTGGTTTGGTGGAGTTCTGAAATGCAAAATGATGGAACTCCCATTTCTCTTTCATAATACTTCTTTATCACAGAAACCCAGGCTGCTAGGCTGGAGATGTCTGGACACACAAAGCAGATATGATCACGCTGCAGACAGCGTTGTTTTGATTGCAGTCTGAACAAAGCAATTTCCTCAGGCAGCCAGTAGTAACTGGTAGCTGTAGTAGTCAGGTTTGCTTGTTAGCGGATTAACAGTAAATTAGCATATACACTTCTCCAATCACAGGAGCCTTCCTGCAGTCTGAATAGTAAGTTCAAATGTGTCTGCCCCACATCACAGGTACTTAATAATAATGTCTGTGTATATAAATGTTGTTGCTCTCTACCCATCCTCTCCATCTCTCGCTTGCAGATGTGGCCGATGATGACGATGACATCGCTGATCAGGGCAGGGCTCAGTGGGTTGTCTCTCAGGAGAGCATCCGGAGGAGGGGGCGAGGAAGGGGAAGGGGAGTCGGCCACAAGTTCAAGAAAAGGAAGATCCTAAATCAGTTTATTCCCGGAGGACTCCGCTCCCGACGCTGTGGTATCTGCGAAGGCTGCTTGGTAGAGGAGGACTGCGCCGAATGTGTCAACTGTCTCGACAAACCCAAGTTCGGGGGGCCAAACACCAAGAGACAGTGTTGCATGTAAGTTGGTTTAATAAAAGCTACAGTCCTCCTGATTGATGTGATGCTGTCAACAAAATTCATATATTTTAAAATAGAAAATCTTTAAAAATGCTTTCAATTCAAAACCAGATAAGGAAAACAAGTTGACAGTCAACACATTCATAGATGTCTGCTCATGGACTAATAATCTAATTAAACTCTTGATTATTTTTTCCTTAGATACAAAAAGTGTGCCCGGATTGAGAAAGCAAAGATGGAGCGCTTCATCAAACCACTGAAACGTAAGTCTCTAATTAGATGTTCCTGCTCTTGTTTAATTCTAAAACTATTTTTAAGTTAACTGTAATAAAACCCCAAATCCAAATGGTTTGTCATAGACTGCTTAATAAATCATGCGGCCCTTCTTTCTCAGTCAAGGCGAGGCGAACGTCAGGCTCTGATTCCAGCAGTGAGAATGCAAACTGGATCTCTGGAGGAGCGGGAGAGGGATCGTCTTCAGTGGCTCCTGGGGTCAGAAAACACTCCTTGCGTAACATCAAACCCCGCTCATACAGCAACCTGCTGAAGTCTGAATCTGAAGAAGAAGAGGAGGAAGAGGAAAAGCAGGCAAAGGCAGAAAAACCCACCGTCAAGTCAGATGTTACTGCCGCTAGCAACAAAGGTAACTTAAGTGTAACTAACATTGGATTTACAGCAATAGTTGTAATATGTCATGGCAGTGCTGTTGGAAGTAAAAAATGTGTCTTAAATCCATTTCTCTTCTTTTTCGTGATCTTGGCACTAAAGATTTCGGATCACTGCCTGACAACCTTCTACCTGAGACCGTGAAGCATCGCAGGCCTTTCCCCAGAGCTCCCGCCGGCAGACCCAGAGCTATCAAGGTAAAACCTCCAGCAGATTACCCCTTCGCCTTCATTATACCTCTGTATCAAACCTGGGTCAAATATTTGTTTGGAAAATGTTTTCTAGATGTTGTCAATTTAAAAACAACAACACACACAGCCAAATCGGTGAATTATTATTTAAAAAAGGACCATTTTGAGTTTAAGTGACAGGTCAATGATAAAGACAACAAACACCTCAACCATTTCCAACTTGGCCCAGGTCTGTGTATCACTTATTTTCTTCTCAAATGTAAAATTTGTTTGAGTATTTTTATATCAACTTTCACATTCAGCCTCTGCTAATCTTCTGTCTCTTAAGTTTCCTCTTCATGTATCACATCTGATCTACATTTTTACCAAATTCATGATAAAATAAAGCACAGTTATCTTTGAATCAAACACCAAAATCAGGCTAACTGCACAGTATGTCCTCACTTTTTTAAAATTAAATCAAAGAATATAAAACAAGAATAGGAAGCCAAAAATCAAAAAATACATTTAGACGAAAGAAAATTAAAAATCCTTATGAAACTACGTGTACATAATAATATATTTAAGACATTTACAGTTTTCCCTACCTAAAGTTATTTTTTTGCCGTCAAATAACGCTGACATGAAGTAAATACTTTCAAACAATCCATCGGTGAAATGAACTACCGCTTACTTTACATTTGTTAACGTGAATCCAAAGAAATATTCAGTGATCATGTGTTTTATAGAATCATTTTAAAGAAATGTAACCAATGATAATAGTTCCAGTTAGTGAAAAGTCAACTTTAATATTCCACAGATCATCAGTCAAATCCACCACTGCTTTCTAACACTAATAATTGACATGTTTGGCTTGTCATAACCAAGATGAAGTGAACATTTAGGCTCTGCTGGCTGATTCTTCTGCTTCTTTTTGTTGGCATGAACATTTGACTTCTTCATACCTTGTCAAGGATCTTGACTTCTTCCTGATTAGATTCTAAGTGCTCCTGCAGCATGGCGCTGGCTTTTCACTGCTGATGCTGCATTGCATGTATCGTCTACTTTTCTAAATGCCAAAGTCCTCTTATTTATGTAAAAACGCTGCTTCAAGTGTTGAGTTTATCTCCATCTGTGTTTGTTGGTTTTGAATTGGCACAGTTGGTTTTGTCACCTCATTCAGCGATACATCTTTAAATCTAAAACCCCTTTGTCACAGCATCTGTCCACTCATCTGTGTTTCACTCGATGATTTGCAATGCCTCCATCCTACTAGTCCCAAAGCATCTATAGAGGAAGCCGCCATACATTGATGTCGACATAAAAACAAGTGTAAACAACGACATGTGATCAACAAGCACTTTTCATGATCATCTAGGAGAGCTTCTCTTTTTGTTAGCTGTAGGTGCACACTGCTCACTCACTACAGTGCAGGAGTGCAAATGTTTTTGAGAAAAGTGTTTGCATGAATGCATCACTCATGCATCTTTAAAAATGGCACATAAAAATACCTGCGTGCATGTGTATGCTAAACTTGTAGACATACTGTACTTTGTGTGCATGTGTCCTGATTTGTGTTGTGGCAGTTTGCTTATTTCCTCTGTGGAGCTTTTGTGCACAAAGGAGATGGATGAAAGTTGTTGTAGGCAAAATATTTCTGTAAATTTCCTCCAAAAAAACAACAAACTATAACACTGGAAAAACATGTATAGTGAAAGCAGATTGCTAAAGAAAAGTGGCAAAAGTTACTGTTTAAAAACAAACCAAGAGAACAGAAATATATGTTGTACCATTATTCTTTCTCTGTGTTGTACCAACAGTCAGTACATGTGATCAACCGCTTATCTGTTTCTCACGGGGTAATGATCCATACGAGAGTAGACACAAGAGATGTCAGCCTTTTCAATAACTAAGAATATGACAGCAGAGGTACCACTAAATCTTTGTGAAACAAATGATAAACTTCAAAACATGACATCAATACGATATCTTTAATCAATAAAAGAACCCTTATATCACGAACCAGGTAACACTTAAAGAAAAATTCAGTATCTGTTTGGCATTAAGCATCCATCAAGTCTTTGTGAGGAAGTCAACAAATCCGTCTGGTAGACAAAAGTAAAAGAAGAGGCATTTTGAATGTGTTTTTTTATTTTATTATTGTTTTGCAACCTGAAAAGTCTTTACTTATAAAACCCCTTGAGATGGTGTCATTTGGGTCCAAAATATAATACTGATTGTTTTATTTTTTTCATCTACTTATCTTTGAAGCAGAGAAATGCAAAGTTTACTTATCTGTACATTTACTCCAGACAACACCTCTGTGTTTATTTCTATTGCTGCTGAATGCGTTTACTTAATTTTCTTCACTCCTTCCTGCTTTTTTCCCACGCTAACACGTTACTTTCAAACAGTGCTTCTCCCCTGTCCTGTCACTTTGGCTGCTGCCGGTCGCCGTCTGTGCATGTCACTAGAATCAGTTTTATCTTTTGGAACGTATGGTGCTGGTTGGCTTAGGCAGTCCCCTCCTTCGCAGGAACAGGCGAACATGGAAGAGATGGAGCCCAGAGACACTTTCCCAGACTCCGGCCTGTCCAGGAGCCCAATGCCGAAGCTGCAGCGGCAGCTACGAATACACTTACACCGTCTGCCTGATTCTGTGCTGCAGTGTTTGGATCAGTGTGCTTCAAAGTCCCATCCAATATTGTCCCAGCTTTTAACACAATATGCTGTTTCAAATTCATCACATCCCGCAACAGAACTGTCCCCCCCTGTCCTGCATCCCGCTTCTCCACTTTCACCAACAGACTCTGCTCAGACATCTCTGCTGTTACGTTTGCACCGTTTGCCCGAGTGTGTGAAGCAGTCAACTTTTGATTTGCACAAATCTAAATCCTCATCATCACAACAGCTCCAGTCTGCACAGCACACATCTCTGACAGAGTCAACGATGTGTTTGAAGGGCGATCCAGAGGTGCAGAACCCAGATGACGCTAACATAGATAACATGGTGTACAATGCTGTGAATGTTCTGTCTCACATTGCAAATCCACACTCAGAGTTACAGGAGGGCAGGCAAGAGGACCAGGATGCAGAAGAGGATCGGCCCGAAGAGGAGGATGAAGAATCTATAAACGAGACAGTGCTGCAAACATCTCACACACACTATGTCCTTCGTTCTCAGAATCCTGCAGAATGTGCAGCGACTACCCCGACAGGGGTAACTAACGGATTTCCCCAAAAGGGCCTGTCGCAGAACAAGTACAAGATCCGTGTTGACTTCAAGGTGAGTCCATCCACAATTGTTGTGTGGCAGTCTTATACTTTGCATATGAGCTTGATCGAGAATTACTTCACAGCAAAAGTGTTGTAAACTGACAGTCAAAATCTCTGTCGACAGATGTCAAGATTCTATTGAAATTAACATTTCAGGAAATCTGGACGTAAAAAAAAAGATATGAATGAGGATACTTTAAAAATCTAGTTCTTCATGATTGTTTCACTCACTGCAGCTTTAATGATCTAAGTCTGGCTTGAAGTCCTGTAGAAAAGATGTTTTTTCAGGGTTATTGATTTCTTTATTTTCTTAAATTAAAAGCAGGTGTTACAAATGTGATTGTATGTGTTATATTAAAGTGTTCTTCATTATCCAGTTAAAGTTTTAAATACAATACTGGTGAATAAATTAAACATGTTGCTGACCAGCCATGCTAAAAGTTATGAACTTATTATGAAGAAAATAAGTTCTCACTAATAAGCTCTTTATTCATATTAAAAACAAATGTCTTTTGTTTTCTCTTTCCAGGAGGACTGTGCTGTGCAAAATGTTTGGCTGATGGGCGGGCTCAGCGTCCTCACATCTGTCCCAACCACACCCCAACCTGTCTGTCTGCTCTGTGCCAGTAAAGGACGATATGAGGTCATTAAGCAATGTTTGGCCCATAGCTGCAAAAGGTTGATGCTCTGCAGTACCAATAATAGCAATTTGACTAATCTGGCTTTCTTCTGTTATCAACATCCATCAGATGATATTCTGCCAGATCTGCTGTGAGCCTTTCCACAGTTTCTGCCTCTCACCTGAGGAGCGCCCTATCAAGGAGAACAAGGAGAACTGGTGCTGCAGGCGCTGCAAATTTTGTCACGTGTGCGGCCGTCGAAGCAAGAACACAAAGGTTTGTAACCCAGCGTCACTTATGATGTAAAAACACACATCTACTAAAAATGTGTATGGTTCTGAAAAAAATAGTTAGGTGCTCATGTGTACACTGAAAGTCTTTGTCCTTCATTTCATCATTCCTCCTGTTCATACCTGTTGATGCAGGATTCTGTGTTTTTGTGGAAGTGACTTTTTATCCACATTTGTATAGACTTAACTTGGAATACATTTATGCACAAAACACAGGTGTCCTTAAGTTATATGGTGAACAGGTGTTATCTATTGGTGCCTAAAGATATTGTACAAGAGATGCTAGGATAATGTTGCTCTATTTAAATGTTTTGAACGGTAGTAAGGGCTTGTGAAAGAGGTACTAGGTAGGTATTTATCCCACTTGATACCCTTTTTGTTTTTGTCCTCTTCAGCCGGTGTTGCAGTGCAGAAGATGCCAAACCTCATACCATCCTTCCTGCCTGGGACCAACTTACCCTAAGCCTATGAACTGCAGCATACCTTGGGTAATTCCTTCAGTAGCCCAGGAATATTTATTTACTTGCTGTGCCTCGTGATTATTATAAAAAATTTCATCAATTTAGTTTGTGCCAAGTAGAGCCTACCTAGAATAATCCAACAGTTGTGTGATATTGTTTTGTTTGTGTAGGTGTGCATGACATGTATTCGGTGTAAAAGCTGTGGTGTGACTCCTGGGAAATCCTGGGACTTGGCCTGGAACCACGAGCAGGACCTTTGCCCTGACTGCACTCTTCTCCACAATAAAGGTAAGACCTGTGAGAGGTACCGGTGTTTCCTGAAGCTAAATGTGTGAGTGCAAAGAAAACATTGTTAATAGATGATTTAACAGATTATTCAAGTGTCTTGGATTTGTATATAAAGTGTGTTTAATAGTGTAAATGTGTGGCACTGGAAATGGACAACATGGCTAATGTGTTTGTTTGTTTTTTACATCAGGAAATTTCTGCACAGTCTGCCACAAGTGCTACAGTGACAACAGCAAACACTCACAGATGATACAGTGTTTCCAGTGCAGCCACTGGATTCATTACTCATGTGAAGGACTTTCAGGTGAGCAAGGTTCTGCCTGTTATTTATGAATAAAAATCCAGAATGTTTATAGCGACTACTCCAAGATGGCAGCATTAGTGATTTGATACATTTCAAGATTTATTTTTGGGCTTTTTGTGCCTTTAATGGAGAGATAGGACAGTGTATAGAGCTGGAAATCAGGGAGAGAGAGAGTGGGGAAGGACATGCGGGAAAGGGGCCACAGGCCGGATTTGAACCCGGGCCGCCCGCTTTGAGGACTACAGCCTCCATACATGGGGCCCACTAACCACTGCGCCACCAGCACCCCACCTAGCTTAATTTTAACCATATCCTTAATCTTTTTTGTTTCTATTGGACATGCATAATGATTTAAAGTGCACAATTATGTTGCTACCCTCACCTTGACCAACATCATCTACTCTACAATGTGTCATTACAGATGAGCTGTTTGGTTTGATGTCAAACCAGGCAGGAGAAGTTCCTTTCACGTGTTCGCCCTGCAGCCAAACTAAAACCAGCAGCTTGAAAGGGGAGCTGCAGAGCAGGCTGATAGATGGACTGCAGGAGGTGCTCACTGACCTCCTCTCCAACAATGCCACACAGCACCTTCTTATCTGCAAAGCAGTAAGGCTCAACCACATTGCTATGACTCCCTAATATTTCGAGGGTGCTTTTTCCTAAAGCAGTTTGTTCTTTTTTTTACACCTTTTCTTATTGTTTGTCTCTACCAGATATCTGACTTTTTTATCTTGTTGTTTTTTTTGTTTTTTTACAGTGTCAGGAAACAAATAAAGAGGACGTCAGGGAATTGCAGCCAGTCTGTGATCTACAAGCTATAGAGAGGAGGTTTGAAAGGGGAAGATACTCCTCAATAGTGAGTATATTTTGTATGGTAATCTGTCATTTCAAGGTTTCAGCATACGATCATGGTCTTGACATTTCCTGTTTCTATTCCAGTGTGTGTGTGCCAACCAAGTTACAACACTGAACTAAAAAAATAAAAAATGTTTAGAAATGTCTTTGCTGAAGCCCTGACCTCTTTGTTTTTCTTTCTCACTCACTCAGAAAGCTTTCCATGCAGACATTGCCACTGTGATGAGGAGGTGGCTGAAGGAGGAGGAGCCTCATCCTGAGGATCAGAGGCTGAGCAGCCAGGCCAAGGCACACTATGTCAAAGTAAACTGCTCTCCCCTCATAATCTCCTGTAATGATTTATGGTTACTTCCTCTGGGTTAACTTTAGATGTGAAGCTGAGAAACTGGACAGATTATAAACTTAAAGATAAAATAAAAGATGCTGCCCTTCACCATAATTTGACTTGTAATTTGAATTTCCTTTTGAGCTTACTCAAATTGTCTTTTTTTTCCTCACAGCTGGTAGAGCGAGTTTTTGGCTGGTTTTCTTCACACCAACTGAAAAAGTGGAACTCAATCTCAGAGGAATTCCCAAGGTACATTTATTACAGTATACAGCAGTGTTGTAGTCGAGTCCCCAGACATTGAGTCTGAGTCTAGTCTCAAGTCCCCAGTGCTTAATTCCCAGCCGAGTCCCCATTACCCAAGTGGAAGTCCAAGTTTGAAAATCAGGGCTTGAGTCCAGGACTCAGACCCGAGTACTACAACACTGGTATACAACAAACTTAATGTAACATAGGATCTCTATGAATACATTGACTGTTTCCTGATTTTTATTAAAGTTCAAGACATAGTTGAAGCTTTAGGTGCCAACTATAGTTTCAATAAGACTAAATGTGCCACTCAGAATACAGTAGCATGTGGATGATTAACTCAAATGTTGTCTCTGTCTTTATCCTTCACTCTGCAGCGGCATGCTGCCTGAGGCTGTCCTCCCACCTTCCAAGGAGCACAGCTATGCACAGTGGCTGGAAAGGACATACCAGCCCAGGGAGTTCAGAGGCCAACAGACGGGGAACATTCTCCTGTCCTCACGCACTGCTCAGCAGTCTGGTGTATCGCACAGCCTCACTCAGTTTAAACATGGTACAAAAAACCTCATAGCCTGCTGTGTGTCAATAATGTTCAAATTCAAAGTTTTAAGGGCAGGATTTTATCTTCACAGGTTTTATTTCGGAACACAAATGCTAAATGTATAATTAGTCTAATCTAACTGAATGATAGTATGGTAGACTTTGTGGCTGAACTGGTTGTCTCTCCTCTGTTCGGCTGCTTTTATAGGACATTAAAAGACGTAGTTCCCCAGACCCCCTGAGCCTGGGGCGGCATTCACTTGTGGGTGGGGTGGATGACTTACATTTTTTGTCTTCTCAGGTTTAAATGATTTGGTCCTCCTCTTTCTCACAGGTGCAGTAAGTGATCTGGAAACTTCCAAGACTGAAGATATGAGGCAGTGTTCCCTGTGCCAACAATATGGAGACGCTGCTCCTTGTGTGAGTATAACTTTCATACTGTGTTTTTTTTTTTTTAAACATCTAAATTGAAATTTCCTGTCAAGATTAACATAGTTTCACTGCATACAGTGTACATAATGAATACACGTAATAATATTTTAATGATCACTATCTATTTGCAGATTTTTCTTTAATCTCATTTTTTAAAGGCTATATATGTGATTTTTCACACTTAAAAGTAATATAAATCAAGTATATCCTCTGAAAATAACTCTGAGTCATGACTGTCTACAATGGGTGTAACACCCGAGTCCCACTGTCTGTGATGTTTTCAGAGTTTTCAGAGTCCTATCTTCAGTTTGTTTACATCGCCTGGACGGCCGGCTGACTCCTCCCCTCGTGTATAAAAGTTGTTTAATTGAGGGACTAGAGAAAAGAAGAATAACATACTGTACTCACTGCTTAACTGTGTTTCTAGATCACGCTCATTTCAGGTAAATTTACATGCAGTGTTGCTAACACAACAATGCACCGCGAGTTGTTTTGGTTTCATGCTAGTGCTCAAGGGCGACATCTGCTGGATCAAAAAAATCACATAAAGCCTTTGAACAGTTATAATGAAATATTAGATTTTTTTGTGCGTGCTTAAATTATCTTTCTTTAAGAATTACGTTTCTGAGGTTCTGGTTTGACATGTTTCTTAATGATATCTTTCTTTGTATGTCTTCTTGCATAATAAAAAATATTTAATAAAAAGGTTTATTACGTTATATGATTTGATTTTGATCCTGGTAGGATGCAGGGCGGCTTCTGTACTTGGGACAGAACGAGTGGGCCCACGTGAACTGCTGCATTTGGTCTGCAGAGGTCTATGAGGACAACAGTGCTCTTCTGCAAGTGCACAGTGCTGTCTCAAGAGGGCGCCACTTGGTAAGTTATACAGCTCTCAGTATTGTAGACTTGTAGGGGTAGCAGCATCAAATGTGATGGTATAAGTCTGAATTTCTTTCCTTTCTTTGCCTTGTCCAGCGTTGTGACCGTTGTGGGCAGTCGGGGGCCACTGTGGGCTGCTGTCTTGCCACTTGTCAGAGTAATTTCCACTTCATGTGTGCTCGCGCGCAGAACTGTGCGTTTCAGCAGGACAGGAAGATTTACTGTTTCAAACACAGAGATCTCCTCAGTTCAAAGGTACGTACACAATTCTCCCCCTAAAGCTTCACTCGCTTTGTAAAATTCATCATAGTGATGGTGAGAGCGTTACACTTTCACATAATTTACACCTTTCTATTTTCTTTCTACATGTAATTGACTTGTGATTTTCCATACTCTTGCAGAGGGTGTCTGGAAAAGGATTTGAGGTCACTCGGCGGGTGTATGTAGACTTTGATGGGATCAATCTCAAAAGAAAGTTTCTCACAGGCCTGCAGCCAGAATCTATAAACATGACCATAGGTAAGAACATTTGGATTCTGTCTTTAGTCGATAAGAGCTCCTTTCTACAGGATATCAGACTGCTTTAGTTTGAGGAAAAGTTTGATAATCTTTTTTTCCCACTTTTCTAGGATCTCTACAGATTCAGAAACTTGGTGTGTTGACAGAGCTGTCGTCTAATGGGAGGATGCTGTATCCTGTCGGCTATCAGTAAGACTCATTATAATGCTATGCTATGCTATACTACACAATAATGGCCGATCTTTAAGGTTTACCTTTTTTATAGTCTCCTGCCCAGGGACTACAGATGTAAATTAGCTCATAGCGAACTAGTTCAGTGTTTTACTTTGTCATTGTATTTTGATCTTTTGGGCCAAACAAAGCTCAGTTTGTGTTTTCAAAACTGCTTCTGGATAACATTGGTTCTTGGATAGTATGCTTTTGTTCTTTTTGTACAAAAACCTTCCTCCCTTCCTTTCTACAGATGTTCTCGGTTGTACTGGAGCACTTTAGACCCTCGCAGACGTTGCAAATACACTTGTAAAGTTACTGAAGTTAGTACGCCACTCCCTGGGGAGGAACCAGATCCCAAGTGGGACCAAGAAGAAATCACACCATAGTCCACAGTCCCAACCACTACAGAGGTCAGAAGGCCCCGTTGCATGTTTAATAAGCAATCAAAATGGATCTATTTTTTGCACAGTTATCCTGATTTGTTCTGTTTCTCTAACTTAAATATCAGATGATAATTTGTTATGGTTATTGTCCTTTTGGTTCAACTGAATGTTTAACATGTTTTTCTTCTGTACCAGATGTAGCATCCCCAGATCATTTAAGTTCCTCATCCAGCCCAATAAAATCCACTACCACATCACCCAACTCTAAACAGCACAATACACCTGGATCGAAAAGTCCTGGCTACACACAAACTAGGAGACCAGCAGGAGGGTCATCTAGACCTCTTCCATCTCCAGGTAAATTGTTTGGTTATTAAACATCGTATCAAACAATGCAAGTCATTTTATAAGGAATTTTACATAAGACCACATGCAAAAGCAGTATTCAATTCCTTTCTGAACTTAACTTGATTCTTTCAGGGTCCGCTCTCCCAAAATCTCATCACATTTTGACATTAAGGGACCTGGAGGACACCCGTCGGCCGCGAAGGCTGTCAACAAGAAGCCGCTGTAGTTCCTCACAATCAGACGGCGACCCGTCTGTGCCAATAACCCTCCGTTCTGGTGGCAGTGTCCACTCCAGGTGTGCTCTCTTCAGCTCCCCTCCTAGATCAACAAACTTGGGATCGGCCTCACCTCCTCTCTCAAGACAAAACTCCACATCACCTGTCTGGAGCTCCCCACCTCAATCCAACGCTGGCATTTCTGTAGGGCTTTCACCCCGCCAAGGAACCCTCACTCATTCCCCCAAAGGGAGGCAGAACTTTAAAATCACAACTCCAGTTTCTGCAGAGGTTCCCCAGGACTTTCTAGCATCATCTGAGGCAGAAGATGCAGCAGTGGCTACAACCAACGGGATCTCCCTGGCCCCGGATAACCTGGAAGAGGAAGTAGCTCATCTCATGGCGCAAGAGCTCCCTTACACTGTGTTTGACACGGACACAGAGGTTGCGGTGGCCTCCATGCTTAATGCTAAGCTTGACTTTGACGAGGCTCTCCTAAATGAGAACATCACGCTGGGAGGGGCCGGGAGGGAAGAACTTGAAGGTGTAGTGCAAGAAGGTAATCAGGAAAATGAAGAGTCATGCCATTACCTCAGGTTTTCCCGCACAGTCGTGTGTGACGCTGCTAGCAGCTCAGACGCCTCAGGTCAGCTCCCGCCGTCTCAATCAATCTCACAGTTAGATGGAGCGGACGGAGGGTCGGACAGTGACGAAATCGGGGGGACCGATGATGAAGCTCAGGACGAGGGAGAAGAAGGAGAGATTAGGATTGATAACAATCATAATGCTCCGACTAAACAGCTGACTGTTGCTCTGAAGAGGCTGGACTCGATCTATACAGTGTCAAAGTCAACAGATGAAGGACCTGCTGAGCCAGACTTTGATGCAAATTCTCTTCCAGTTGATTTTCTCCAATCGGACTTTGCAAATGACAACATGTCGGTGCAGGAGGAAGAGGTCCTGATGAGCTCTGAAACGCTAACCTCTCAAAACGAAGTGGTTTTGGATTCAGCTACAGGCCATTTTGTTTCTACTGAAAATGGTGCTTTGCTTTACCCACACAACAATGAGTTTGAAGACAAAGACGAGAATAGCTCATCAAACGAATCGTCGAAGGATTTAAAGATGATTTAACTGATCCCGACTACTCTCCAGAACCAAAAACCAAAAGGTCTCCACCGGTGCTGTTGAAATCCATTTATGTGAAGACAAAACATCCACCAACAAACCTCAAACGGACAGCGCCAAAAGTGTGTCTTCCAATGCACACGTCGGTCTCTCCTTCTGCTGCCAACTATTGTGCAGTTCCACGCACGGTCACATCCCCCATTGTGATCAATGGTTTAAACGCTCTACCAATTCAGCCCGGTGCTACACGGGGAAGAACAGTTGCCATCCGCTTGGACAGTTCAAGACCAGGAGGGCAGCCACAAATGGTGATTCAGAATCAGGCTGCAGCCACCAGCACCTCCCCGTCCATTGCACCTGCTCCAGCGCCTCAGATCCTCCTGGTCAACCGTCAAGGTCAGATTCTGATCAAAGACCAGAGAACAAACACCTATCAGTCACTTAGTTCAAATTCTCCTGCCTACAATAAAATAAGCCAGATTGCCAAGATTCTCCACAGCGGCAATGCTTTGCAGCGCTCGGTTCCACGTGTCATCATAAAGCCGCGTGCCAGCCCCTCAGTCACAAACATCCCTCCTGCCGATAACAACACAACAACAACAACGACGACGACTCAGAAGAAAATCATCTTTAGAGTAGTACCAGTGAAAAGCAGCGTGACTCAAGCTCCCTCAACTCCTGGCAGTGTGCAGTGCGTTCCTGAAGCAGTTTCATGCAACATTGAGGAAAGCACGGCTCAGGCTATAATCGACAGAGCCATGGCGACACACCGCGAAGAACCACATCCAGAACCACAGCCAAAACCAAAACCGAACATCCTCAAAAACACTAGACGACCCAACGCCAGTCATCAGAGACCATCCCAGTTTCAGGACACAGAGGAGTCGGATTGTTCACCAGCTGCTCGTTCAGACTCCCCCAGCGTTTGCCTTAATGAGACATATTTGAACCAGCGACTGAAGCCGGCTCCACCGCGCCAGGTGAGGGTGAAGAGAGTCTCATCAGTGACCGAAAAGCCCACCAGAAAGAAATCCAAGATTAATTTCTTAAAAGATCCAAACATTGACCTTGAGGAAATTGATGAACCCAGGTATGGAACAATTTAATTATTATTTAACAAGTTTAGTTAATAAGTTATAGGTCTACATGTAATCAAATATTGTTCATGTTGATGTTACTACTACTACTTGGTTAGAAATAATCTTTCAATATTTGGAATTGGTCTGATGGTATTTACTTTTCATTTATTTATTTTGTTGGTATTTTAAAATACTTTAAAGTATTGTAAAAACACTATTTGACTTCCCCTAATGCAGTGGAATCCTCTTTTTTTTTTGAGTGACAAGTGTCATCACAAACCACCAGCATGCTAACTTTGTCATGTTATCTGCCAGCAGGCCGGGTGGTGTGAGAATGAAAGCTCCATCAATGAAGGAGGTGATTGATATGGACATGAGGAGTATGCCTGAACAGCCTGAGCCGTTGAGGATTACTGCTCCTTCTGCACTCTCCAGGTATGTTCATCTTAAACGTTACCTCATGCTTTGTAAGTGATGTCATCAAATCTGGGATTTTTTAATTTTTATTGTTATTTTTTACAAGAAGAGAGGCACCGAAATAGAAAAGAAATGTAAGTCTGCATTGAGCTATCTCGCCCCTTCAAGGAGAACCAACAGATACTCAAAAACTCTTTCCCCCTTCAGCTATCAGGCTGTTGAATGCTTAACAATTTTAACTGGTTTACTGTATGGACTGTTACTATACACTTAGACAAATTAATGGACCTGACTGGTTATCTATCTATTTATTGATTACATTTCTGGCATTGTATTTATTTATTAATCTATTTATTAATCATTTGGTGACCCATCTGTTGAACTATTTTAACAGGCATGTGAATGTAATTGTCTGAATGCTGCTGTGACTTTGTTTCCTTTATATTTTCTTGGCTTCTTTTAATGACTCTTCAGGCTGTGTATACGCTGGAATTGAGGATACCTCCCTATATTTGTTTCTACAAACTGTACCATTCCTTTTCTTATTTTTAGTTCATTAATGTATTCTGTTTGTTATAGTGGTCATTTTTTTTTTTTATCTTTATTTTCGCTTAGGCAACCCCGACATGAAAGTTCACCTTCACAAACCGACAGTCACATTAAGAGTAACACACACATGTGGGTCAGTGCTCGTCATGGAGACCTCTCTGAATGGGGCCCTTATTCAGGTTCGTAACCAAACATTGTTTTTTTTGTTTTTGTTATGTCTTCAAGTACATTTTCTCATTTAACTTTTGACTGTATTGATTCTTCAGGTTTTAGCTCTGAGGAAGATGCACCAACACCCAAATATAAGAAGAAGACGTACATGAACCAGCCTCACCTGCGCTTTGAAATCACCAGTGAGGACGGCTTCAGTGTGAAGGCTAACAGCATAGAGGGTAACAAACTTATTGTTTAAATTCTGCTTTTTGACCCGTTCAGTGTGTAGCGTTACAAAGCTTTCACACCTTTCCTCACCTCTTTCTCTGTCAGGTGCATGGCGCGCTGTAATCGATGGCGTCCTGGAAGCTCGAGCGGGCTTTCACATGAAGCAGCTGCCTCTGGGCGTGATGAGTGGACCCCGGGTGCTCGGTGTCATCCACGATGCTGTTATCTTCCTGCTGGAGCAACTGCATGGCGCAGCAAACTGCAAACGCCACCGCTTCCGCTTCCACCGCTGCGATGACATCGAGGAGGAGCTTCCCATCAATCCGAGTGGCTGCGCTCGCTCTGAAGTCTACACACGGTACACAAACACACACACACACTTTCTGTCAACACTAAACATAAGCATTTTATACAGCGTTATTAAAAGGTTGTTTCTTTGTTTTCTCTAATGTCTGTTATTGATATAAATGTGTCTGTATATTTATTTTCTCTTTCACCCATTAGGAAAGCAACCTTTGATATGTTCAACTTCCTGGCATCACAGCATAGACAGCCTCCAGACATAGTAGGTCAATTTGATGAAGAGGAGGATGAATTCCCACTCAAATCTTCCAGGTAAAAGGATTCACTTCATGCCACTTGCTTTGATCCTAAACAATAATGTTTCAACCTACTTCATACCTAACTTTGAAGAAGGTGATTTAGCAGATGCCATGTTCTCGTCGACATCACCTTTTGCTGTGTGTCTATGTAACAGGCGAGCCACCAGCAGTGAGCTTCCCATGGCAATGAGATTCAGACACCTGGAAAAAATCTCCAAAGAAGCAGTTGGAGTTTACAGGTAATGAGGACAATAAACGGTAGGAAAAAACATGAGCTTTGATTTGCATACAAAATATATGTACATGTATATAAACTATTTTCTTTTATCTTCTAAGATCTGAAATCCATGGTCGTGGACTTTTCTGCAAAAGGAACATAGAGGCTGGGGAGATGGTTATCGAGTACGCAGGCACCGTCATTCGCGCCGTTCTGACTGATAAGCGGGAGAAGTATTATGATGGCAAGGTTAGTAAACATGATGCATCTCTATTTGTCGTGTTTCTTTAGTGGTATGTGCATGTCTACATGTAAGCATGGACCAATAGAAAATTGATCACAAAAAAAACAAAACATCATGCATCTGAACAAGCAAAGAAGGAAACATGTCCTCCTTCTGCTTCAGAATACAAAAATGTTGTGTTTGTTTGAAAGAGACGAAGCAGCATTAGCAGGTAGGTAGGCCGATGTTGGTTAGGTCATTTTTTTGAATCCAGTGCACTAATAGAGCGCCACAGGAATGAGTCCTAAAACCAGGAAGTGAGTTAGCATTTGAGCGCCATGGGGTCTAATGTCTAAAAGTCAACAGGGATTTTGAATGGGTTTGTGGTTAGACGCCTGAAATAAGAGATGTTGGTGTTTTGTTAGACCACATAAACTACGTTAAGTAATACCCACACTTGTGAATTTTGAAGTTTTTAGGCGTCTTTAAAAAGGCGGTTGCTAACAAGTGGCTAAATGTGACTACAGTGGTTGTCGGGGACATTAAACGTCATCAGGCCGGACACAGAGGGCGGGAACTCTCTCACTAGTCAGAGATGTCCTGTAGGTTGAATCTTTAGGTTAAGGTGAATATTATGTTAGTAAACTATTTATTAAGCTACGTCAGTTTATCGGAGATCGTCTGAAGCATTACGGTAATGACGTCACAATCCGTGGTGTAGTTAGCTTGTAGCATAACGTTAGCTTTTTACTTCTGTCGGCCGCATTAACTCTTCAAACATCATAAAAATGGTGTTCATCTGTGAAGATTATCCTGCTGAGCAAAACGCCTATGCTTCAGAAACGTGCGTTTACCACAGAGATTATTTTCTGCAGTGATCCAAAATCCAATGACAAAAATCTCATAGGAGAATTCTCGTTAGACCCCATGGAGATGATACTTCAGGGTTGGACTACAAAAATACGTCATATGGTTTGTTCTCTATGGGCCACTTGCCATGTAAACTACTATTTAAGAAGGTAATGAGAAGAGTTTTATTATAACTGCAAACATTTTTAAACCCTTAAATAGAATCACAAACAGGGATTACATTTCATGAAAACACTTTGTGAAACTCACCACGATATACTCCCCTCAGGGCATCGGCTGCTACATGTTCCGCATCGACGACTTTGACGTGGTGGACGCAACAATGCAAGGCAACGCAGCTCGTTTCATCAACCACTCGTGCGAGCCCAACTGCTACTCCCGTGTCATCAACGTCGACGGCCGCAAGCACATCGTCATCTTCGCTCTGAGAAAGATCTACCGGGGCGAAGAGCTGACCTACGACTACAAGTTCCCCATCGAGGACGAGAATAGCAAGCTGCACTGCAACTGCGGGACGAGACGCTGCCGTCGCTTCCTGAATTAGTATCAGACACACAAACACGCCATGTACAAAATAGCCATCGTGTTAAAATGCACTAGAATTCAGCAGGTGGACTGTGACGACCTTTTGATGAAGCTGATTGTTGTGAAGTAGCCATAAGAGTGAGGGTTCCCCAACGCGCACACACACCTGATCTAAGGAGTTTTCACTTTGTTAAAGCTTAATTTATTGAGTGATTAGGGACAGTGTGTGTTTAATCTGTGAAACTAAACTGTGTCACACAAACAAGACCAGAGCCATGATACACAGTGTGGGGCGATTAATATTTATTTGATTTGAGACTTTCGGTCTGTTAGGACGTGCAGTATGAACAAACAACTGCTCGAATATTTAGATGTCAGAGCTGTTGTACCTCCTTCATTACACATCCTTTCTGTTTTGCAACGTTAGCCTCTGCTGGAACTTGGTCTCAGTGAAAGCCAGGGGGCAGTATAACCAGCTACAAACAGTGCAAACTAAAAATAGAATATTAAGGGATTTCTGTTATTTGAGGTGATGGAGTGTCTCTGTAAACACAAAGTCACAGAAGGTTAGGGAGAACTTATTCAGCACCTTACTTTGACTCGACCTCCTGGCAACGTTTGTATTGCAGCAGGCAGGAGACATTTTTTTACTTCAAAGCAAACAAACGAAACACATTTAACTCCTCGTGTACATTGTAGCGCAGCTGTATTTTAACTTCACTCTTGGATACAACTTGTGAGCAGGGAATTTAATATTTCGGGTGCTGGCGACATTTATCCCAAACCGTAGTTTTAACGTAGTCCCCCAAACTGTTTCGCCCCCTCATTCATTCTGTTTTATTTGTGACGGCATATTTGCTGTGATGTTTTTATCTTGACTGTCTTGATTGGTTTCTTTGTACTGTTTGTTTATTGTAAGATCTATGAGGGAGATTTTCCTTGATGCAGGGTTCAAATTGAATATACTGACCTTGCTCGGCACAGTCCCCTATAAATCTTTTTTGTATTTTTGTATATTTGAACAATAAATGTATATTCAACAAGCTAACTGAAACACACGTGTTTGACCTTTTAACTTTTATTTCTAAGTGAAGGCAGGCTTATTGAACCGAAGCTGTTGCAGAGTTATGAATCTTCTTATTTTGCATCTTTTTTGCACCCTCTTCCTCGTGTTTTTTTTTTGTCCACCACAGGTGTACTACCTCAAAAGTGTTATGAAGCGAATATTTAATTTAATTACATGACACAATTGGTAAAACACTGCTTTCTAGTTTCCTCATTGTTCAGTCTTTGTAATCATTATATTTTACACAAAGCAAATCAAAAACTGTTGAACACTGACTTGCTATTATGCCTGCAGTCATTTTTGTAAGAATACCTGGCCACCATGTTTTTGTGCTCGTGTCTCCTGTTTGAAACCACACCTAGCGGATGGATGTAGATAGAGTCCTAGAGTTTAGCTTCAAGGCTGGATGCTTAGGAAGTTTGTTTTCTGTTTTTGGAACAATAATAGAATTTCTCTCAAAGTTTGTGACTGAATTGGCTCACATTTGATTCTTGCCTGTACATAGTTGTATAAAGAATTTCTAAACCTGTTAAATATTTTTGTACCTACATTTTTTTTTTTATTTATGTTCAATAAAAATTTGAAATGTTTAACATTGGTCTTTGAATTATTCTGACCAGTTAATAAATAGAATTATTTTGTGTTAGAAATGTTCCTATAAAGTAAAAAAAAGAATGTCCAGTGAATGTAAATATATTTACATGCACAACCTTTGAATGTGACTTCTGCAAAAAATTTGAATTATTACAAGTAAAAATGACTAAAGAATCAAATCTATTCTAAAAAAAAAGCTGTATATACCTGTGTATACCTCATAACCGTGGTGTATAAGACGGCTTTTACTGATAAGAAACATATACCTGGGGCTCTATGTGCCATGATGGGATCTGAAATAAGTTGAAGGGGTCATGAGAAAACTATTTGATAAACCCAATGCTCATTTTTTTATACATAAAATTGTATTTGTTTGGGTTTAATCTAATTCACTTTTTTAAATAATTAATGGGTTTACTTTAAAAAAAGAAATAACTTCAAAAGGTTTTATAGGTCAGTAGTTCTGACCATCACTCCACTGATAGTGCCTGTTCCATTACTCAGCCTTTTTCTGCAGTTTTGAAATAGTCTTATCAGGTTTTCTCTCCTATGTGACTGCAGCACACTGCTGTTGAGTTGAGACAACCGCAACTGAGACATGCTACCAGACATCTCCTCCTCTGAAATGAGTGAATGCATTACTGGACAAAGATTCACAGTAGGAAATCTGTCATCTTTTCTAATTTACATCAGTGTCTCAAACTGCAGATATACACCAGTAAATAAGGTGTTGATTATATATATCTGGCACCGGTAAAAAAAAAGTAAGAAGTGCCTTCCAGACTCAGGTATATGTCGGATATGATCAGTCACTTATTGGAACTTGTATATGTAGGGCCTCTCCTATTTATATCAATCAGAAGTCCCCATGGGAGTTTCATACGTTAGTTGTGACTTTAGTCAAGGTCTTGCCTTTGCCTTCAGCCATATGGATCATTCCCAGAATTTCCCAGTATTTGTATTTTTACTTCACTGACCTTGCAAAATGTGGGAACATAGAGGGCGGTGTTTATAAAGAGTTACAGCGTATACCCTATGTGTGTGTTTATAAAGAGTTACAGCGTGTACCCTATGTGTGTACCTCCTCTTTCATTCAAGAGATAATCACCATGAAGGCCCTGGTGTTCCTGACTTTGCTTGGAGCAGCAAGTAAGAGACGACTGTCATTTTATCATTGTTTATCAAATATTGATAAGTGGATGAAAACTTGTATGCATCTTTACATGTGTCATAATATACCTTATGTGTCTTTTCAGTTGCTGCAGCTGAGGATGAAAAGGTGGTTGGAGGGTATGAGTGCACCGGACACTCTGTTCCCTACCAGGTTTCTCTGAATGCTGGATACCACTTCTGCGGTGGATCCCTCATCTCCAGCCAGTGGGTGGTGTCTGCTGCTCACTGCTACAAGTCGTAAGTACAAGTACAACGCTTATACCAACCAATTTAACGTGGCTTGCGAGATGTTTTAAGTACTTAACTCAAATGCAAAGTATATGAAATCAAGTGAGACTAAATGGCATAATTACAGTGTGGTTTTATGAGTTGTGGCCTCTTTACCAAGATAAATACTTCCAACAAAGGTAAAAAAAAAAAAAGAGGATAGGCCTTTAAAGCTTTACCTTGAGAAATTGAAAATGTGTAAAGTAAGTTGAAAAAAAACAACAACAAACATTTAAACCAAAAGCAATGTAAAGAGTTAGCATTTTACTGAGGTAAATGAAGCTTTTTGTAACAGTACTGAAGACAGAGTAGGTTAGGATAAAACAGGTCAAAACCTTAACACATTGGCTAACATACATTTTGTTAATATATATTAATGATTTCATTATTGCCTTGGAGTTAAGCTAGCTACATGAGCTTGAATGTTATCTAAATTAGCAGTAAGCCAACTGAGGGAAAACTTGTAATAAACAAATCTCAACTCAACATTAACAAAAAATAGATGAAACAACAAAACGCTCCAAAGAGAAGATTTGGGTAGTAAACAGCAGATGTCAGTCAATACTTTTTAAGGTTAGTTTAAACTGCTGTAGCACTAAAACGTCTGTAATTTAATGCTGCTAAAAAATGTTAGCAAACTTTAAAGGTAGCTTATAGCTTGTTAGCTTATTACTGATAAAAGCCTTATTAACCTCTTATATAAGTCTATGCTAATTATTAGCTCAATGACTTCTTTTTTTTATCTGGCTATTGTCACTTGTATGGAAGCCCATTTCCGCCAGTTAAAAAAATAAAAATGAAAATAATAAAGTCAAAATTATGAGATAATGAAGTCATATTCATTATTTTGTTTACTTTTTTATTTTTATTACTTTTTATCTCATAATTATGACTTTATTATTTTCATTTTTATTTTTTTAACTTGCGGAAATGGGCTTCCATACACTTGTCATCTTGCTTTCAATAAATAGCTTATTAAAGAATGAGGGTCATCATCATTATGAGAAAACAGACTTTTAAACTGTAACATACCTCCACCAGTCGCATCCAGGTCCGTCTTGGAGAGCACAACATCGCCGTCAATGAGGGCACTGAGCAGTGGATCGACGCTGCCAAAATGATCCGTCACCCACAGTACAACAGCTACAACCTGGACAACGACATCATGCTCATCAAGCTGAGCCGGCCCGCCACCCTCAACAGCCACGTGCAGACCGTGTCCCTGCCCTCGCGCTGCCCCCACACCGACGAGAACTGCGTGGTGTCCGGCTGGGGCAACACGTCCGCCACCGGCAGTAAGACTATTTACAGTCTGTCATTACTGGGCCTGACAACCGACAGAAAAAACGCGAGTGGGGTTGGGTGGAGGAGAGGATATAAGTGTGGTTTAATTTAAAAAATAAAAATAATAATTAAACATTTAGTAATACTATAATATACAAATACAGGAGGTTAAAGTTACACCAGTACAGTGGAGCAAAGAAACGGAATCAGAAATACTTTATTAATCCCAGAGGGAAATTCGATTGTTACAGTTGCTCCAAATATTCTCTATAGCAGTAGAAATAAATAATACAAATGTTAATCAAATAGAATAGGAATGTAAGTAAGATTTCAATAATAGGTACAATAAATATTTACAGGAATACGAGTCAGATGGAATATATACACACATTTTCAAGATTATTGTACTGTTTGTTTCAATATTGCACTTTGTTATCATGGACATATTATTCATTATTATTATATTGCAGTTTTAATAAATAATGATAGTAGGAAACATAATGATAGTAGCTTAAAGATATATTCAACCAGCTCTTGATTTCTCAACCTTTTAAAGTAATTATAAACCATGCTTTCATGTATGTAAAGAAACCTAATATTTAACATAATTTTTTGTCTTTGAACAAGAGTTTGGAAATGCAATGTAAAACTGCAATACTACTAGGTACTAGGTCTACTAGGTACTGAAGCCAGAGAAGGCATTTCATTTAATAGAAAAAAGTACATTTGGGACTTTATCTGTATATATACAGTGGGTACGGAAAGTATTCAGACCCCTTTACATTTTTCACTCTTTGTTTCATTGCAGCCATTTGCTAAAATCAAAACTTGATTAGGAAAGGCACACACCTGTCTATATAAGACCTTACAGCTCACAGTGCATGTCAGAGCAAATGAGAATCATGAGGTCGAAGGAACTGCCCAAGGAGCTCAGAGACAGAATTGTGGCAAGGCACAGATCTGGCCAAGGTTACAAAAGAATTTCTGCAGCACTCAAGGTTCCTAAGAGCACAGTGGCCTCCATAATCCTTAAATGGAAGAAGTTTGGGACGACCAGAACTCTTCCTAGACCTGGCCGTCCAGCCAAACTGAGCAATCGTGGGAGAAGAGCCTTGGTGAGAGAGGTAAAGAAGAACCCAAAGATCACTGTGGCTGAGCTCCAGAGATGCAGTAGGGAGATGGGAGAAAGTTCCACAAAGTCAACTATCACTGCAGCCCTCCACCAGTCGGGGCTTTATGGCAGAGTGGCCCGACGGAAGCCTCTCCTCAGTGCAAGACATATGAAAGCCTGCATAGAGTTTGCCAAAAAACACATGAAGGACTCCCAGACTATGAGAAAGAAGATTCTCTGGTCTGATGAGACCAAGATTGAACTTTTTGGCTTTAATTCTAAGCGGTATGTGTGGAGAAAACCAGGCACTGCTCATCACCTGCCCAATACAATCCCAACAGTGAAACATGGTGGTGGCAGCATCATGCTATGGGGGTGTTTTTTTTCAGCTGCAGGGACAGGACGACTGGTTGCAATTGAAGGAAAGATGAATGCGGCCAAGTACAGAGATATCCTGGAAGAAAACCTCTTCCAGAGTGCTCAGGACCTCAGACTGGGCCGAAGGTTCACCTTCCAACAAGACAATGACCCTAAGCACACAGCTAAAATAACAAAGGAGTTGCTTCGGAACAACTCTGTGACCATTCTTGACTGGCCCAGCCAGAGCCCTGACCTAAATCCAATTGAGCATCTCTGGAGAGACCTGAAAATGGCTGTCCACCAACGTTCATCATCCAACCTGACAGAACCGGAGAGGATCTGCAAGGAAGAATGGCAGAGGATCCCCAAATCCAGGTGTGAAAAACTTGTTGCATCATTCCCAAGAAGACTCATGGCTGTACTAGCTCAAAAGGGTGCTTCTACTCAATACTGAGCAAAGGGTCTGAATACTTATGACCATGTGATATTTCAGTTTTTCTTTTTTAATACATTTGCAAAAATTTCTACATTTGTTTTTTTTCTGTCAAGATGGGGTGCTGAGTGTACATTAATGAGAAATAAAATGAACTTTTTTGATTTTAGCAAATGGCTGCAATGAAACAAAGAGTGAAAAATGTAAAGGGGTCTGAATACTTTCCGTACCCACTGTATTTGAAGTTAATTATGGACCCAGTGTACTGAATATCAATCTAACACCATGATATGCAGCTCTACATCCTGATCTACAAACTGAAGCTGCAAACAAAAACCTTTTGTCTGTTGATTACTTTTTAAATTTTTTGTGAAGTCTGTACAATAAATACAATGTGATAATAATAATAATAATGTGATAATGCCCAGAAAGTCAAATATTACATAGTTCCATTTTCCAAATATCAAAGTCTTCTAACTTGTAATACCCAAATCAGTTCATAAATTCCTCACTGCGTTACTCAATGTTTTATAACATTCATGGTATATGGAGCGAATTTAGAATACTAACGGCAGGTTAAGTTACTGATATTTGCCTTTCCTCTCCCCAGGCAACTTCCCCGACAGGTTGCAGTGCCTGAGGCAGCCCATCATTGATGACAGGATCTGCAGGAATGCCTACCCTCACCTCTTCACCGAGAACATGATTTGCTCTGGATTCATGCATGGAGGTGCCAGCAGCTGCCAAGTGAGTGTGACTAAAACACGCTAAACACCCAGGGAGTGAGGTGGTAAATAATCTCCTTAAACAGTGCAGGGGTCTGTGGCTTTACCATATGTTCCTGTATTATCACTGGGTATACTAACTCCTTAGTTCAATTGATTAATTTATCCAGCACAGAAAGCAAAACACTGCTTTCTGTCACTCTTAAATACAAACATTTACAGACAGGGTCATTTTTTTGTTTTCCTTTTGTTGATTAGCAGTGCTCCCCATGGACAACACTTACAGCAGCATTGTGTTTGTGTTTGCAGGGAGACTCTGGTGGTCCTCTGGTGTGTAACGGTCAGCTGCAGGGAGTCGTGTCCTGGGGTTATGACTGCGCCATGCAGGGACACCCCAGCGTCTACGCCCGTGTGTGCCGCTTCAATAGCTGGATCAGCACCACCATGAGCAACAACTAAACACAAACATAGTGTACCATGAATCCACGTGCTAGCTTACATGACAAAACTATTGTCAGTGCTCATATTCAGTTTATTGGATATCTGTGCCATTCATTTACATCTCATAATCAACATGATAAGAAATAACATTCTGTGACCAAAAAACTAAGTAACTAATAAAATAAAAAATATACATTAGCATTCATTTCATCCATTTGGTTTTCTTTTTACATTGAGTTTCACAGTTGTTGGCATAACAATATAAACATGCTCTTGCTTGGTAATACTTTATACTCAGTGCTTTTGCTACAGTCTGTGTTTTATTCTCACAAGGCCACCAGTGCATTGATATACAAATTCATAAATCAAGCAAAAACTAACCTGAAAGTGTTGCAAAACATCCATGTATAATACTTTTTTTATTTTTTTACTTATTGTACTATGGACTCATGCATCTCTGTGAAACGCCTCTTGCACTCAGTTACTGTGGCTGCTGGAGTGATTTGGGAGACAAGCAAACTTGAGTAAATAAGCAATAAGGCATTTCAGCTCTTTTTATGTCTGGATTCTTTGCATGCATTCCTCAGATGGCGCTTTGTAAACTTCGCTGCTTCTTGTTTGCTGAGGCTACCTGAACATACAGAGGAAAAGAGAGAGGGAGAAGCAATGATAGTCACACAGTCGTATCAAACAGAGGAGCATCTGAACTGGCTTTAAAAATGAGTTACAGATGGCATGACAGTAAATATTACAGCATGTTTTATTTTCATCATTGTCATTATGACATTAAATAACACAGGAGGGAGTCTGTTATGCCACACATTTGGAAAGTGGATATAATATGGTTACGTGCATACAGCGACATAGTGTCTTAAGAAAGTGTTGCACAACCATGACATCTATCTGGAGCTTCAAATGAGTCTAAATGCACTTTTCACAATTCTTTTGGCCTTTTGGATAGCAGTTGCTCATGATCAACAGATTGAACTGACACTTTTTTTCTTTTTTTGTAATTCTTATAATGTACAGTTTGTTTTATGAATGGTAATTTTATTATACTATTAATGGAGCCTGGTCCCAGTCTTTAGTGTTCAATGCAATAATGGTTGTTTGCCCTTTTTAGAGATAAAAAACAATTTATTTCTTCTTAAGCAAAGAATAATTCCTTTATACATTTATATGCTGTATGTTCTGTACCTGCTCTTAGAGCGCGGTCACACTGGCAATGTTGTCGTACCGTGCTTAAGCACCATTCCCCCCCCCCCCCCCCATTCACTCGCTGGACTGCATGGCCTGTGGTCACACTGCTCCAGGACAAACCGGGCCTAAGCACGGTTACCTCTTGTACATAACCTCATAATAATATAGCACATGCATGGCTTTATATTATTATAAAGCGCCTACTATTAGTTCAACAACACACCTGACCAGCAATCCGATCCAGATCTCTTTGGCCCTGTGGGGTGAGTCTTCGTCCACTGAAATGAAACAAATCATCAAAATGTTTTATTAAATCCCAGAGTCAGCCTTGAACATAGAAACTCTCCACCTCACCCATTTGGGTCCTTCTCCACCATCTTGAGGCCCTCCAGAGCCTGCAGGACCTTCCTCGCCACGTTTCTGGAGCCCACGCTAAAGTGGGCGGGGCATACCCCGTTCCTCTGCCGCCCTCCGTAGACCTTGATCATAGAGCCGACGCCGACCCCTCCACGCAGGTACAGGTGACGAGCCGTGGAGGCTTGTGAAATGTACAGTAAATAAAAATATAATGTGTATGTTGCAATACATTTTTTTGTGATCCATGTTCAACCAAAAGACATGAAATCAAACATTCCAACTTATCAAATGTGTGACATTTTTCTGTGCAGACTGTTAATCTTTTGTGCACTCAGTATAGGTGAGTAGATAACCTCAGCTGAGAGGAGATTGTGTGCATTTGGTTTTCTGAATAAATTGTTGTAGTTATGGAACAATATACAACACAACAATACAAGGAAATGACAATGGCACTCCCTGATGTTAACTCTAACTACCAGTAATTTACGGCTTAAAATTAAGGCTAAAAAGTATTATACTGAACAACACCAGGAAAATGCTGAAAACATATAAAATCTTTACTCATGAATATTTTTACAACTGTTATTTAATTAGGCAGATGTTTGGTTAACTGTTCAGTTGATACAATGTTACCATACAGTCCCTCACTGTGTCTGAGCAACAGTTAAAACCATTGATATAAAACTGCTCTATTTCTTTTTTCTTTTTTTTTGAATAATTATTTTTATTACTTTCATTCTTTCCATCAGTCATACACGTTTTTATCAACCAAAATAATACCATAACATTTAACTTAATTTACACTTTTCAAGAGTGAAATCAGGCTCACATGAGATATTTACCTTTATATCCCAACACACAACAGAGAAAACACATGAAATAAAATAAAATTGTTCTATTTCTAAATCATAAATTAATATGTATATAGGGATCAAAACAATGCCCATTAACAATAATTCTTGGAAACATACTCAAAAAGACTAGATGATGGCTTGGTGTATATGGACCAGATCCAGTATGACCAACCTGCTCTGGTGTAGAACCAGTTGTCATCACAGGGAGCCAGCTCCTTGTGCCTGGCAAGCTTCACAGTGTCAACCCATTCTGGGACCTTCAGCTTGCCAGACCTGAAAAAATCAATTACACGTCACTGTGATGAATCAACGGACTGGATGTTTCCCTCAAAACAACAGACGGCACAGGAAAACAGGATTCTCTCCTCACAAACAGTATCAATAGTGTCATGTGTTTTTACTGCTGTTTAGACACGGGTGTTGTCGCAGAGCAACATCCTATGAGAGGCCAAGCGAGGTCAAAATCTGTCTGAAAAGCTAAATGTGTAAGTACTTGTTTAGTGTGTCTGTGATTACAGATTACATTTGCAACAATTTCTCAAGAGTAGAGGGCAATGTCAAAGGTCAACAACGATGATCATCAGTACAGTGACACAAAATCAACTGTTGTGATACTATTTTTCATGGTGCATTTTTTATTAAATGTTTTTAGAAAAAGTTTAAAACAAATATTAGTGATGGCATTTTTTTCAACCATTGTCATTAGCTTTGTTTGTTTTAGGATTTAAAAAATGTTAAATGCAAAATTTAGTGGATTCTTTTTCATCTATTTAAGATTCTTGAGTTTGTTCACATCACAGATGGAGAGATTGTATAACACCAACTTGTAACAAGGATGTAGAAAGTAAGTGTGCAAAACTTCAACTATCAGGTTACATTAATATTAAACTTTCTCAATTTCAAGTGTTTCAATGACCCATACACAAAAATCTATGGACACCTTAAACTCATATTGAAGACAAACATCTTAAACATTTTCTTACCAAAAGTATACAAAGTATGTGGAGAGCATACTTACTTTTGGCTTATAGTGGAGTCCTATCATAGTCAAACACCTTTGCATGCACTGCACTCCATTTGACCCTGTTAGGTCAGTCAGTGGGTGACATGATGATGTTATGTCTCAGTAAGATGTTGTGTAAATCATTAACTTCATCTAAACACTGGGTAAAATACATAAAAGTGTAAAGAGAATCCGAGCTGAACCATTTTTCTCTGAATACTTCAATTAGTTCTCTCTCTCTATATATATATAATAATAATTCAAGGATTTATCTGGAGGATCAAGTTTCCCTTTGGGGACACTTCTATCCTGCACAATATTTTATTTATTCACATGGGACACGTAAAGCATTAACAAGCACCAGTTACGTTGTCTTATTGCTTTAAGTCACAGTGCATAAAGGGCTGCTTATTTCTTCCTGATAATGAAGGGAAATGTGTCAGGTTTCAGTTTTCAATAGCATCACCCACAATGCTTCAGTTCGTATACTTACAATAACTCCAAGTACAAAACAACTAACTTTCAGAGTTTCAGTCCTCCTTAATTCCAGCTAACTTATGTAACATTTTCACACAGTAACAATAAATAATTTAGACTAAAGAACTGAACATAGTGACAGAGAATGGAAGCTTTAAAAACCTGGTTTAAATCATTGAATATGTATTTTAGCTGTTTTAAATATCCTTCTAGTAGCTGTGTCCTCTGTAGTCTCCTTTATAAATATAATGTCTATAACCTGTATTGAAATGATCACAGTGTTTGGCATGTCTTTTTGTCTTTCTCACCACTTGCGGGTGTCTGTTTATTTTAGGAGACTAGTAAGAAAACTGCAGAACAAAGTTTCAGTTCTGCCGTCAGTGTCCCGCTGCTTCCCAGGTTGTAACTGTGATTTCTCACATGTACTGTAGCCCACATAAAATATTTATATCCACATTTTATACCCACACTACTATAATCCTTTCACACTGCTTTGTGCATTACCCCAGATACATAACACACAAGCCCATTTCGATTCCCTCAGGTACAATTCCTCTGTCTGGATTTCCATTGCAAACTTCTGTACTCTACTATTTGGGTTAAAAACACTGTGAAAGTTATATTAGATGATGTTACCTTTGTTTATGTTTATCCACAATTCATTTTTAGTAACTCATTTGTCTCTGTACATTGTATTTGTTATTGTATTTCTTTTGCTGTGTAACTTCAGTAAGTGTACTTACAATAAAGCCTGTCCAATCTTACATAGCACTTTAAACAGAAACTTGAGCCGAAATAACAACGTTTACGTGAAAATATAGCAAACCATTATGTTCTAACAGTTCTTTGCAAGTTATTCGTGATTAAGATTTTTTGCCACAATTGAGCAGCCCTAGTTTACCGTGAAGATGAATGATTTGTTCATATTCTGTGATGAAGAAATTATTGCTATCTAACACAATAAACTATACTCAATATCATGTTGCTTACTCATGCTTCTTTTGACAAAATAAAAGCTTTTGCATGTCATTTTCTGTATCACTTAAGCAGATTTTATACATTTCAAAAAGCATGTTTCTTTCTAATAATTTCATTCTAATCTCAAAAAAATGATTCACATGATAAATTTCTCTGTCATCCAAGAAAATTCAGTTAATTGCTTATTAAAATGTTATCTAGCTAAAAAATAACAACGAATGTCACTATTCATTCAACTCTTGATATAAATACGCAAACTGATAACTAACTAACTAAATTTGAATAAATAAGATTACCTAGTATTTCCTCTGTACATAAAGGTATGAGGGACAAAAAATGACTAAAGTATAAATAAATAAATAAATGAATAAATAAATAAATGTTGGGAGAAATGCATACAATAATGTATAAATAATAAATAATTAAATAAATGCATCAATAAATATATAAATAAATATATTCATATATTTATTTATGTATTTCTGTGTCCATGTTGTACAAGGAAAAGTAAATATGTAAATTAAGAGGGCCGTCCTAACATTAAAAACAGACAGAAGCAAATTTACATATATACTTTTCCTCTTACGACCTGGACACAGAAATAAATAGATGTGTAAATGTAAAAATACAGAAATAAATTAATAACTCAATTCATGTGGAAATGTATGCATTGATACATATATAACTGTAGAAATACGCTAATAAATGAATAAATACATATAAAAATATATAAATAGCCTTTTTCATTAACAAAGTGTATTTATTATTTATTCATTGATGTATTGTTTTCAGCACTTATATATTTATTGATGCATTTATCTAATTATTTATATATTATTGTATGCATTTCTACCAACATTTATTTATTTATTCATACTTTAGTAATTTTTTTGGTGGTAAAAAAAAGTGTAAAACTGATGTGTGAGTGACAGGTGACCATCAGCCAGTCATGCACTGTCAGCATGGTTTAAGCTTTACTTACTTTTTGAGGAAAGCTGACAAAGCCCTGACAAAATCCTGTTGGTTGACATCTTTCACCGTGACACTGGGCATCTGAAAGGACATTTGGAGACAAAGGTGAGCTTGGTAGTAAATGCTTGACTTGTCGTTTCTCTCATAATGAGTAAAAGTGCACCGACTGTCGTAGCCTCTGAAATGTAAGCTAACGTTAGCTAGTAGCTAGCGTAGGTAAGATGACAGCATGCGAGTCATAGGCACACTGACATATCTGTACAGGTGTCGTGTTATTCAGTGATAAATACTATCTTACTGTTCATATACCTTACAAAGACGACAGCTAGGTGGTCAGGCTAAGGATGGAGTTCAGCTAATGCGGCGAGGCGGCTAAAGGAAGAATGCTGAGGAGGGAAGGAGACTACCCTCGTTTGCAAAGGATGAAAGGAAGGATGCTGAGGAGGGAAGGAGACTACCCTCGTTTGGAAAGAATGAAAGGAAGGATGCTGAGGAGGGAAGGAGACTACCCTCGTTTGGAAAGGATGAAAGGAAGGATGCTGAGGAGGGAAGGAGACTAAGGATGATTCCGTAGCCTGATTTAACCTCTCTAGCTGCTGGATATGATTGCTTAAGTCGGCCATTGTAGACAATTTATTTAAACATCAACGTGTTTCAGTGTACTTTTCAAGCAAACAATGCCATGCATATATATGTCAAACTGTTGATATATAAAGTTATAAACCAGGGGCGTCCAAGTGCGGCCCGAGGGCCATTTGCGGCCCTTGAGGGGATTTCTTTGCGGCCCGTGACTTCAAATGAAGAATCTGAAGATTTTGGCCCTAGGCCTTGATTAAGATTGGCACATTATCTTATTTTTCTTTTTCATGTTAACAAAGGCTGAACAATATTCCTAAAATAGAAAATGTTCAGTAACATGTATGTTTTTTTTTTTTTTTTTTAAATCTACAACTTTTACTATTTTCCACATTTTTTTTGTAAACTATGAAAAAAACTTGTGCAAAGGTTTTGCAAACAAGCGGACTGTTGTTTAACCATTTCATGACCTGAGCTAAATGCTGAAAGCTTTTCCAAAAAAATGAACCACGTTACAGACTTTATTCTGAGAAAAAAACAAATAAAGTAGAACGGAGAAATCAAAATATTTGATTTCCTTTTATTAAAGGGTTTCTTTAGCGAGCCTTTTGATTCTGATCTACAAAGCCTTACTATTTTTTCAACTATATTTTAAAAAACAAAACCTGTGGCCCGCGAGCGATTCTAACACGACAATTTTGGCCCGCAAGAAAAAAAGTTTGGACACCACTGCTATAAACTATCTTTTTCATTTTGTTGGTGAACTATTCCCGCTGAAGCCCAGCAGAGGGTGGTGTTGAGACACCATTTTCACATGTCTGGCCCCTTTCTCTGTTCCATTATCAGTCCCAAAGGCTTTCAAGAAGTGTGCTGCAGTCTGCAGGAGGGGACAAAACACCTCAGCTAGGAAGAAGCCATCACCAGTGGAGGGTTAGTAACTGTTTAGTCTCTTTTTTTAATCAGCCATTAGAATTTGCTGCCTACACATTTAGTCAATAATTTCTTTATTAATCTTGTATGTACTGCAAAGGCCTTTGATACTACAAATGCTAATAGCCTATGATAATTCAGAAGTCACAGTAAATCATGATGTTTGTCAAATGATGTCTATGACAGTGTGTTTAATTAAATATCTTTTTCATCGCAGCTTCTTTGCAATTGTAAAGAAGTGTACCATCCTGAATCCTGTTCGCCAATGTGATGGTTGTCCTTGGAACCCAGAGCAGTATTTCTAAAGGCACAAAGCACGAGAGGCAAGTCAATTCAAAGTGGAGCTACAACTAATAATTCATGTAACTTTAAATCATATAGTGTTCTATGGCTTACATTCAACAGAAAAATCCTGAAGAGCAGCTGATCTCTACTGAGATCACTGTGTATCCATTTCTTCCCTTCTAAATAGATAATAATTATCTACCTACCACTATAAATTCAGCCAAGTCTCCTGTGTGCATGAGAGTTTAGCTGAAGTTTAAAACAAAAATACAGTAAGATTAGTTTCTAAGCCATGCAAGTGCATTGTGTGATCAGCCATTGGACAAATATACAATCAATTTCATGTGATGATGGTTAAAAAGGAACAAACTTTTGCATGCAGCATCTTCTTTAATGTGAGTTCATTTGAATCCCTTTGGAGGATTCTCTCTACAATAACACATTTGGCTCTGTCAGCTTGAGATAAGGCTTCCATTTTTCTTAACTTCTCTGACTTCATGATTCATCTAGGTACTAGTTGTGGTATTAGTTAATACTGAACAATTAGTCATTCCTTCAGTGATTATTATATTATATATTGTCTCCAAAGTTTTGCTTGATTTGCAGAAGCTTGCTATCTGTGGAGCGTGATGCTTTTAAGCTGCAGCATTTCATTATTTCTTTCCTTGACCTCAAAAAGTCATGTTCTTCTTTTCAGGTATCGGATGCAGATTACCACCAGTGTGTGAAACACTGCAGTCAAAGCCAAGGTAAATTAATGTGTGTTTACAAATGTGGCAGACATGTTCGTACACCGGACACACACACACACACACACACACACACACACAGAGCAGCCCTGTACTCTCTGTCTACCCATGTAAGCTACTTCCCCTCCCCCCGTCTCAACATCTCTCTCCCCTTTTTTGTCCCCCTCGTTCTCTCCTTTTCCCTCCTGCTCGCTCTCCCTCGCCTGCTAGCACTATTTCGAGCCTCTGCCTCTGAGAGAGAGAGAGAGAGAGAGAGAGAGAGAGGCAGGGACACACAGATGCGCAGTTAGAGAGAGAGAGGGAGAGAGAGAGGGGAGGGGAAAGCAGACAGGATTTAGAGTTCAAGTGCACGTGCAGAAAATAGGCTGAATAGAGGAGAGTCAGAGCAGAAAGGAAACCAGGAAAAGGAACGGCAGGGGCGGGAGACAAAGCACACAGTGGCTCTTTCTTTTCTTCTTTCTTCCTCTCTATTTTCTTCTTAGAAAAAGAAAAGGTATTAGCCTCGGCCAAAAGAAGAAAAGGACCAAATTCAAAAACTGTGAGCGTAGAATTTTTTTTAAATTTCTATTCTTGCCCCCTCCTCTTCCCTTCCACTCACATCCGACACACTCCCCTTGTATCCCTCCCTCTTGGATATTTCTCCATGAACCCCACAGTCTCTCTCTCTCTCTCTCTCTCTTTCTCTCTCTCTCTCTCTTTCCCCTCCCACCTCTTCACGCACACACATGCACACACCCCGGAGTCCTTCCCCTCACCATGCTTACTATCGACTCTCACTGGAGACGACTGCGACAAGCTCCTTTTTTCTTTCCCTGTCTTTTTCTTGCCAGCCTTTGCCTTTGATAATGTTCGCACGTATGGAGGCACCTTTAGGTAGTTAACGCTTCACCCACTTCGTGTGGCCTCCCTGATAAATGCAGGCCATGGATTGTCCCGGCGTTAGACTGAGTGCCACAAACCTGCTTGTCCTTTCTTAAAAAACATTTTTCCATCTCTTGTTCGTTTTTTTTTTCAAGGCAGATCTCGACTTTCGTCTAGAAATCTTTTGAAAGAAACCTTATCTGTGTTCTGAAGCTGGCGCTTATGGTTGAAGACAGAAACAGAGTGAATGAATGGACACATGAAGGGGGACAGGCAAAGAATGAGGGGAAAATGGAGAGCGTGGTCTGCGGGAGAAAGCCAGAAAGCCAGAGAGAGAGAGAGGTAGGAGAAAGAGTACCGGCACTGGCAAGAAAAACAGGGAGGGGGGAAGAGTGAAGAAGGGGGACCAGTAGGGGATAGACTTATAGGAAGGTAGGACGGCTGGATAGGAATTGGCAGAAATCGCGGGAAAAAGGAGAAAAACAAAACTGCAGAATGAGAAGAAACGGAACTTCTCTCAAACTCAGACTTGCACTGTCGGGTCGCCTTCGATTTTTGTTTTGCGACATGAATTTTCATCACTTTTCCGATCACCCTCTCATTCACATGTGAGTATACTGTACCTACATGTTCTTCTTTTTCCTTTTCCTGCTTCCTCTCTGCATTTCCCTTTCTTCTTAAAAGCATTTTCCTCCTCCTCCTCCCCCCTCGCCTTTTCTTCACTCAGTTTTTCAACTCTCCTCTTATTTTTTCTCTCTTGTTTGAAAAATGTGTTCCCTAGGTTGCTAATCCCCTCATCCTGTTCATCTTTCCCATCTCGTGTGCTCCACCTCTCTCTCCTTCTATCTGCCTTGTTCGTTCTCCAGCTCCTCTTTATCGCAGGTTATCGCTGCTCTTTTTTGCCTCTCCTTGAAGGATTACCTCTGCTCACATTTAGATGAGGGCTTTGGAAAGGGATCACTGAGTGCACCCAGTTTTAGGGGGCCCATGAATGGGAGGCTAGTACATGAAGGAGGCAGGGTGTGTGTACTTGTGTGTGTGTATCTGTCTGTACTAGTTGTGCATATATACTGTATGTGTCTGCGTGTGTGTGTCTGTATGTTGGGGTGTGATTAAGAGTTAACAGAGCCAGCAGTGGTGAATGGTCACTCTTGCTTACGCATGCGCGGATTCGCACAATCACGTTTCATGTTTCAAATTTTTCTGAAATGGTTTCTGCGATGCTATAAAATCCACAGACATGAAAGATAGTGTGTTAGTACGGGGGAGAGCGCAGAGGTGAAAATGCTGTAAGTACTGCAGAATATCTTCTTCTTCTTCTTCTTCTTCTCTTATTGCAGTTTTCACTCTTCCAATGCTTCTCCCCCTTTTTTTCTTTCCCATCTTCCATCCGGGTATCCCCCAATCTATCTGTTGGTCCGCCTGCAAAGAAAGATCCACAGTCCAAGATGTGGTTTGGTATTAGCACAAGATAAGAACCGATTCGCCAAGTACCAAACTTGAATCGGTTTCAGTGAGTTTTTTTTCTTCTTCTAATAACCTGCAGCATTTTGGGGCGAGATTACTTGTGTTTGATGCGGGGAAGTTACAGGTAAAGACGGAGGGTTTTCTGCAAAGAACTGCTTATCTGCGCTGTAAAGATGCCAACAGTCGTGGGTAACATGAGAGCATAATTGTAAGTTAGGTACTGTGAGCTTATGATATAAAACAGGATATATAATAGAGGCATAGGGTGTATAAAACAGCTCTGCAATCGTCCATTTGCAGTCTATCTGTTGTAATCTCCATTGAACCTTTTTTTCCTCTGCGCTATCGGCCTCAGATATCTCCTGGCATCTCCTACTTTTTCCCTTTTCTCCACCCCTGTGTTATATATCTTTCTACCTGCTCTGTTTTTCTATTTACATAGCCTCCTGTTATCTCTGCCCACATTTTCTCTGTCACTTGCCACAGTTGTTATCTTTATCCAAGATTGTCCTCTGGTATATTTCCAAGGCGAGTGTATGTATGCGTGTGTTTCTCTGCCGACAATGTGTTGCGTTTT